TTTGAGAGAGAGAGAGTGTGTGCATGTGTATGTGTGTGTGAGAGAGAGAGAGAGAGAGCAGGAAGGAGCAGAAAGAGAGTGAGAGAGTAAATTCCAAGCAGGCTCCACAGACTCGGGGCTTGATCACATGAACCGTGAAATCATGACCTGAGCCAAAATGAAGAGTCAGATGCCTAACCAAATTAGCCACTCAGGTGCCCCTCATCTCTATTCTTTTTTTGGGGGGAGTGCAAGTGAGCAAGGGACAGAGAGAGAGAAGTGGGGCTCTTGTTCACCCCATGTGGGACTCAAACTCACAAACTGTGAGATCATGACCTGAGCTGAAGTCAGACACTCAACCGACTGAGCTACCCAGGTGCCCCCTCATCTCTATTCTTTAAAAACATCAGGGGTGCCTGGGTGGCTCAGTTAGTTAAGCGTCTGACTTCAGTTCAGGTCATGATTGCATGGTTCTTGAGTTTGAGCCCTGCATTGGGCTCTGTGCTCTCAGCCCAGAGCCCCGTTTGGATTCTCTGTCTCCCTCTCTTTTGGCCCCTTCCCAGCTCACATGCCCACATACTCTCTCTCAAACAAAATAAATAAACATTAAAAAAAATCATACAACATTTTTGTAAATGGTAAAAATTTAATGAGTTCTTTTTATCCAGCCAGAAAAAGAAAAAGAAGGAAGGGAGGGAAGAAAAGACTTGTTAGAGTATAACCTCTGGGGAGAATCATGTCCTTAAATGTTCTATAACCTTGTCAGGATTCCTTGTTCTGCATTCTGGCCACTGCATTCTGCCAAATGCCCTGTCTTCCATCTGATCTAACACGAGTGATGTTAGACATGTTTTGTGGAAGAGCATTGGCTCTGGAGGAAGACAGACCTATGTTTAATGCTGGCACTGCCATTACTAGCTGGTGATCATGGGCAGAGTCCCTTAAGTTTGTGAATTTGTCTCTTCTATAATATGGGGAGAATACTAGAATGATGTCACAGCAATGATAGGATCATGTGAGCAAATGTAGGGGAAGAATCTAGCACAGTTCCTTGCATGCGGTTAATGGTCTATGAATTTAGTTCCCTCCTTCCCCAACTTCTCACTCTCTGTCCTCTTTTCTCTCCTGTCAAATCAAGTAAGGTTTACTTCTTCGTCTTTTTTTAAATTTTTAAAATGTTTTATTTATTTGTGAGAGAGAGAGAGAGAGAGAGAGAGAGACAGAGTACAAGTGGGGGAGGGGCAGAGAGAGAGGGAGACACAGAATCCAAAGCAGGCTCCAGGCTCTGAGCTGTCAGTGCAGAGCCCCATGCTGGGCTCAAAACCGTGAACCACGGTATCACGACCTGAGCCAAAGTCAGTCGCATAACCGCTGAGCCACCCAGGCGCCCCTAACTTACTTCTTGAAATTAGAAGAAAACTGAGCTGTATCAGTTCAGGGTACCACACTGACACCCCCAAATACAGAGGAATCCCTTAAACTGAAGAAATTCCAGTTCAAAAGACAAGAAAGAGAATGGAAGAAAGAACCTAAATTTTGAAAATTCTGAGGCCAGTATTCTCCAACCATAAGATCTTAACCAGCTGCATTTCACGCCTCCATTGGTTCATGACGGAGCTATGTGAAGGAGCCCAGTAAATCACGGAAGGTTCTTGTGCAGTCTTCTGCCTGAAGTTCCCATGACCTCCAGGGCTCCTTTCCTCTGTCTGTCTTAAGGTCCTGCCAGAAAAGCTGGACATACTCCTTCGCTCCCTTCTCCCAACCTACACTTTCACTGTGGCCGTAGAGGCGATTTCAATCTAAAAGCAAGTTGCCAAGACTCATGGGTCCCTCCACTAAGCTCCCAGAGCCCCCTGGGCATACCTCTGTCACTTCTCCACTCAACTGCTAACATGATATCTCTTACGTCCCACTGGGCTGGAAATGTGGTTAGTATGAGTTTGCATCTTCCTTGACATTTTTATATCCTTACTTCCAAGGACAATACCATTTATCTAATTCCAAGTGTTTCTTTTCTTTAAAATTTTTTGATGTTTATTTATTTTTGAGAGAAAGAGAGAACGCGCATGCCTTCTCACACACATGAGTGGGGGAAGGGCAGAGAGAGACGGAGACACAGAATCCTAAACAGGTTCCAGGCTCCGAGCTGCCAGCACAGAACCCAACATGGGCTTGAACTCACAAACTGTAAGATCATGACCTGAGCTGAAGTCAGATGCTTAACCGACTGAGCCACTAAGGCGCCCCTAATTGCAAGTGTTTCTGATTGGTGATGCAGTGGGTGTCCTTTTGACTTTGTTCCTTACTTTTTTTTTTTGTAGTTTCCAATGTGTGTGTGTGTGTGTGTGTGTGTGTGTGTGCGTGCGCGCCCGCGTGTGTTTTAAACAAAGAACATGAATTGCTTTTATAGTAAGAGAAAAGACACAGCTGTCTCTGGTTGGGTGTTCCAGAGCCTGGACTGTCCTGCCTTAGTGCTGGCTACATGGGTGGTATTAAAATAGAAGGCATGTTGACCAAATCAGTATGTCCTGAGATGAGAGAAATTCAGGGAATATGATATGGATGGGCATGGCCCAAACTGGCCTAGTGTGGAAGCAGGGCCATGGCCCAGTTGTCCATATTAATTTCCTTAGGGAGGGCTCCTGGGGTATGGACACATTCCTTAAACCTCCTGTGCCTGATTTCCTCCATCTGTAAGAGGGAGATAGTAACAGCCCTTACTTCACGGGATGCTAGTGGGAATTACATAGGATAGTACACACAAAGTGCTTAAAACAGTACCTGACACATGATCAGCATTCAGTAAAGATTAGCTATTACTAGAATGATTATTAATAGATGTTTGGTCATTCCTATGCTTTGTGCTTGGATGAATGAGATGCATCATGAGATATAACTTCTCTTATAAATAAGCCCACACTATATTGGGGGAGATAGACAGGTGTACAAATAATATCAAGATGTCATTCTGAGGGCTGAAAGAGGATAGGACTAGTCCTATATGCTGTGACAGTCCAGAGGAGGGGGCAATTCACACTGCCAAACCATGCTGTGTTGGAGCAAAAACTTGATGGGGTGCCTGGGTGGTTTAGTCGGTTAACCATCTGACTTTTGGTTTTGGTTCGGGTCATGATCTCACAGTTCGTGGGGGTGAGCCCCGCATTGGGCTCTGTGCTGACAGTGTGGAACCTGCTTGGGATTCTCTCTTTCTCTGCTCCTCCCCCACTCTCTCTCTCTCTCAAAATAAATAAATAAACTTAAAAATTTTTTGATTTTGCCTGTGTGGTCCTGATTCTTCCTTATGTGTCAATGAAACATTTGGGGCCACTTAAAGTGAAGACCTGGGGAGCCTGGGTGGCTATGTGGGCTGAGCATCTGACTCGATTTCAGCTCAGGTCATGATCCCAGGGTCATGAGATCAAGCCCCACATCAGTGCAGAGTCTGCTTGGGATCCTCTCTCTCCCTCTGCCCCTCCCCAGTCCTCTCTCTCTCTCTCTCTCTCATGCACATGTGCTCTCTCTAAAAAAAAAATCTCTCTCCCTCTCCTACTGCCCCTCCCTTGCTTACACATTCTCACTTTCACTCTCTCTCTCAAAAAGAAAAGTGAAGACAAAGACACAGGCTAAGCTTTAAGTCAGTGCAGCCTTGAGGGATGAACAGCAGTGGTTCTTGCGAGCAGAGAGAGGAGGCCCACCAAACACCAGGTGGGAGTACAGGAAATACTCTGCGGAGGGCAGAGCAAAGAAAGAGGAGCGCAGAAAGGCCAGGTGAGCCCGACTATAGAAGGGCCTGAGCACCTGTACTCCACAGAGTTTGAACTAAAAATCAGAGCATAAAGTATTTTTGTTAAGTAAATGATATTTCAGTATGTGGGAACATAGAAGTAAATCCTTCAAAGAAAACCACTTTTTTTTGGTTCTGAATCACACATTACGTTTGTCATGTCTAGACTTCTCTAGAATAGTTCCTCATTCTTTGTTTTTCATGACTTGGACATTTTTCAAAGAGTACAGGCTTTGTTTCAGTTTGGGCTTGTGTGATATTTCCTTGTGATTAATGATCTCTCGTATATTCCAGAATTTCAGGAATGTATTTTTCCTGGACTCTCTTAATATTCCAGGTCTGTGTTCTCTCCTCTCAATGTGTAAATGAAAAAATCTGTAACAGTTTTTAGAGGACTTAATGGTTTGGAAAAACCATTTCATTCAACTTTCAGACTTAAGAGTTATGCGGGGATGCTCCTCCTCAGTGAACCATGTGTTTGTCCCATTACTGATGGTTTTAACTTCGACCACTTAAATTAAGGTCATAACTGTCAGATTTCTCTATTGTAAATTTACTATTTCCCCCTTTGCTATTAATAAGTATTTTGTGGGAGAGATACTTAAGATTATGCCAAAAGGGTGGTCAGATAAAATACAGGAAGCCCAATTTAATTTTAATTGCAGATGACCGTCTTATACTATCTTGGTACGATTCCCTCCTCCCAAATTATTTATCTAAAATTCAAATTTAATTGAGTGTCTTGGATCTTTACTTGCAAGATCTGGCAACCCAGTAAGTACATACCTCGTTCCTAATCCAGTTTCATCCAGTTGTTGTAACATCGGTCGGTGATCCGTTTTTACTGTAATTTTGCCAAATAGTTTCTTTCTAAGTCTACCATTCTTCTACATTTATGAGTTGGTATTCTATCTTTCTATCCACTTTTTGCGGTGCCTGGCACACAGTAGGCGCTCAGTTATTGGTTCAAGCAATGAATGAACAAACTCTCGCTCGCGTTAGCCGGGCTTCCGCGACTCTAGCTGTGTTCGGCAGGGGCTTGCCTTCCTCAGCCAATCTCTGCGGGCTACCGAGGCTTCCGAGGCTTCCAGGGCCTTGCTCCTGGCTCTTCTTGCTCCAATCAGAAACAGGACTTTACAGGCAAGGGACCAACGGGTGCGGGCGGGAGGCGGGGCCTGCCACGCGGCCGCGGTATAATTGCGCGGCCCGCGCGCGCGCTTCTCTTCTGGCGCGGACACCGGCGCGGGTGATGGCTGCCCCTTCCCTCGTGTCCACGTTGGCCACCCGGCTGCTTCGGCCCGCGCAGAGCTGTCGCCTTCGCCATCGCCCCTTCCACCTCTCGGTAGTTCGGTAAGAGGATCGAGAGCCGGGTCAGCGCCGAAAGCTGAGGGAAACCGAGGGCGGGGGGCCGGAGGGGCGCCTAGGGGCGTTCTACTGAGCATCTCCGTCCCGGGCGGTGACGGGACGACGTGGCAGTCGCGCGCGGCCGTCGGCTGCGATCTGGGCCATCGCTCCGTGGGGTGGGCTGACACCCGGAGCCGGCCTTTCAGAGGAAGCCGGTCTCCCGCAGCCCCGGGGCGTCGCCCTCTCTTGGGGCCAGTCCGTCGGCAGGACGGGGCCCAAGATGCGGAGTGAAGGGGCAGGCGGGTTTTCGGGCTCCCGGATTAACGCGGGCCCGTACCGAGGTCACCGGGCAGAAGCTGCCGGCCGCCCTTGGCTGTGATGCCGAGCCGCTTGCGGAGAGCAGAGGGTCCGCTTCGGTGAGCGCCGGGAAGGGCTCTGAATGAGCAGCCTTCAGTGAGAGTCCGGACCCTAGCGGCGGAGGCGGTTGGTGCAATCTGATGAAATCCGGGAGCCCGCTTGCTCGCCGGGTACCCGCACTTCCGTCCTCTGGAGGTGGATGTGGCTCGGGCTGCTCTTGTAGCTGCCCCATTCCCCTCCCAGGAGAATACACATGCTGCGGTCACCAGGGCTTTGATGCTGGCCAACCGGAGTTGGTCGGCCAGGCTGAGTAAATTGAAGGATTAAAGAGGCTAGAAGAGAGAAAGAGCTCTGTTTGCATTTTCTTAGGGAGGTAATAGGTTTTTCCTGATCTTTCGGGACCTCAAACTCCCTTTCTTAACCCTAGGTTGAAGAGTCATCAGGGGTCTGTAATTTCTCTCCCTAAACCTGCGCACTCTCCCGCCCCCCTTTAGTACCTTTGCATTGCCGGCGATCTAAGCCTTGTACCCGCAGCCCTTTCTTTTATGCAGGCACTGCGCTAAGCTGTGTGAATTCAGGGGTGCAAGCCTTCTTTCCTTACTGGAACTCAAGGGGCAGCACACATGTGTAATTTCCACTCAATATAAAAATGTTATTAGAGATATTGCCAAGGTGCTGTTGTAGCACAGAATGCGGATTAATGCGTTCTTGGAAGAAGACCCGGGACACTCAGAACTTCTCTTGGTCTGACCCTGACCTGCCTTTCCAGCCCCATCTCATTACTGTCCGTTCATCTCCCTCTTACCCCTTACTGAGTTCTGGCCAATTTTGCCTGTGGCTTTCATGACTGAAGAGATTTGTAAGGATCCTCCAACTCATCACCTAGAAAACTGGACTAGTTTGTTCACTCTCGAGTAACAAATGCCCTCCTTTCACTTGCCTTTTGAATGAACAAGTAGGTTCCATATCTCTGAAGGCAATACTGTGTTTGGTATTTATGGTTTCCTGGTTTTGCTTTGATCACTGCTGGCTAGTGAATGTAAAACAATAAATGTTTTATGAATCAGTGTGTATTCCTTTTTTCCGGGGGAGGGGGACGGTTGGCAGGGAGTTTCAGGAACATAAACTCATGGTTCCAGAGATAGTACTATAGTTTAGGAGACAGTGGGGTATAGGGAAAAACGGACTTTGGAGGCACAGGCTTGCCTGTGTTTGAATCTACTATCCTCAGTTTCCCCTTCTACATACCAATGTTAGTATAATAACCCCAAGGTAACTGAGAGTAATGTATGTAAAATTCTTAGCAAAATACCTAGTATTTAATAGATGTTAGTTCCATCTTCCTTTGTAGCTTTCTTTACTCATTACTGGTTCCATTCATTAGTAGATAACTGACATCTTTCCAGAAACCTGATCAGGAATCATAAAGTGCACTTGATCATCTTTTTATGGAAAATTACAGTGCTGTAAGCTATTGAATTAGGAAAGTAAAGATACTACTGAGGTGGCTTTTAGTTTTGAATTTTATTTGAACAGTCCTAGTGACTTTTTTCTAGTCTGTTCATTTATTATTTTATTTTATTTTCATTCATTCATAATTTTAATGGAAAATTTTCTGAACACCTCTGTAAAAGCATTTAATTCCTAAATAAGTGTTACTTAATATAGTTAATACACTTTCGAATCCCTTGGGACTAAGCTGAGCTTCTGTTTCTTTTGGGGTAGCAGTTATTTTATCTGCCCTTTGGCAAAAGAGATGATGGGAAATTAGGTAATGACTCTGTATCATGACTGTGTTTCACATTTTGTAGAGCTGTATATGAAGAGGAGGGCTAAAACAGGTTCTGTTACAGAAGATTCTCATTGTGTTGTAGCTTTGTTTTGGTTCTTGTTACTCTTTGACAGTTTTTTAAATGCTAATTGGCATAACATCCAGAACCTGCCTTTGGAACTTGGAACATTGGGTTCTCTCAGAACCCTGTGTCCTTGACTTCAGTGTATCATTCTTAGCCCCAATGTGCTGCTATCGTTTTCACTAAGTTCACTGCTTTCCAAAGGAACCTTTTAAGGAAGGGTCATTGAAGACTTTACTGAATATTTATACCTGTGTATATATTTTTATACACATATCCTTATGAGTGTATAAGCAGATAAATATATCTATTATATATTAAGGATCTCTGTGTGTGTGTAAATCCAACCAACAGAAGAGAGTAAGAAATTAACTTTTGTTGGATATATATACCTTACACTTTATATATGTCATTTCATTCAATATAAATCACTGTCCTAAGCAGTTTTAAAGTAATCTTTCATTCCATAGCATTCCAGGGTTGGGAATGCATTTCTGGACTGGGGCTATTCCCCAGGAATGTTGCCAGAGGTGTTTGTATTCAAAGCCCTTTGAAGTCCCCTTCAGATCTAATTCTGAAATAGATTTGCGAATGTTAACATGTTTTCAGTTCCTTGATATACCATGGGTATATTTGAAATACTATTATATATTTTGTGCTATGCTAGTATCATTACATAAAATGTGGGTAAAAGTACTTCACTTACTATAAAATTATATCTTTTTAACACCTCCCAAGATAAAAATACAAATTAATAGGAGGTGTAGATGTAAAATTACTGCTTTATATCTAAGACATTTTCATCTGGTTTAAAGTAGGTATTTAATCTTAATACAAATGAAAAGGAAGCATGGGTAGCTTAAAGACTGTTGAGGCTTTAAAATTCCATTTTAGTTAACAGTGGCATTCATTCATTCATTCATTTATAAGTAGTAACTCACCACCCTGAGATCAAGAGTCGTGTGCCATACTGGCACAAAAACAGAGACGCATATCAGTGGAACAGAATAGAGAACCAAGAAATGGACCCAGAAATGTATGGCCAACTAATCTTTGACAAAGCAGGAGGAAAGAATATCCAATGGAATAAAGACAGTCTCTTCAATAAATGGTGCTGGGAAAACTGAACAGTTACATGGAGAAAAATGAACTTGGACCACTTACCTACGCCATACACAAAAATAAACTCAAAATGGTTGAAAGACCTGAACATAAGACAGGAAGCCATCAAAATCCTCGAGGAGAAAGCAGGCAAAAACCTCTTTGACCCCGGAAGGAAGGAAGGAAGGAAGGAAGGAAGGAAGGAAGACTTGTTTACACTGAGATCTTTATGCTTAAGGAACAGAGCTGCATAAACAGCTCTTACTGGGAAGAGATGGCCTTTCAGAGATCTGAACATGATTTGGGAAACTGCAGGTTTTTCTAGACCCTGAGTTTTCTCGTTGCCTCACCCCAAGTAGCAGTTTCCGCATCTCTTACTCTGTCTCCCATGAGTGTGACTGCTGTTCTCTCTCTTTGCTGTTTTCTAGGTCTGTCTTCGGGTCTTCCCACCAACAGGTCCCCTGTGGTTCTAGTGTGTGAATGTGGTTCTGGGAGAAGCTCTTACCAGTCTAGTTAACTACTACTGCTCCCACTGCACTGAGTTTTTGCACCAACTAGACCACTGGCCTGCCTAGAAATTGTGGTCCTTGGTGTCAGATACTCCCCTCTGGTCTGTCAGCTATGGATGGGCCAGTGGGGTCTCGAGTAGAACACACAGCTACCCGTGAGATGGAACTTCCCCTATTCCCCTTCCAGCCCCCATTTGTTACTGGGAAAGTCTTCTCCAGGAGGGGTTCTGGGCAGCAGTGGTTATTTTGAGGTTTGACCTGTCCAGAATGTTTATTGGTTTAATTGCATAACATAATTTGTATATTTGAAAGCATCATACAAATTAAAAGCCAATTAACTGGAAAATGGTTTGAGACATATGACTGGATACTAATGACACGGGCAAAACATAAACTACAAATGGTATATAAGCGCATAGGAAACCCTATTTGAGCTTATAGTGGTGATGGGTCAAATAAAACAATGAAAAACTTTTTTGGTCTATCAATTTGTCAATAATCAGGAGGCAGGATGGTGTAGCAGTAAGATCCTGGTCTCTGGATTCAGACAGATCTGGATTTGAGACCCAGCTTGCCAAGTACTCACTGTCACTTCACTCTCTGAGCTCCGGGGTGATAATGATAACTATTTCTGTCAACTTTATCTTCCTGAACATGTAGCTGGACACAGATTTACCACTTTGAACCTGGCCTTCAGATTTCCATTGTCCCTCAGATTAGGCACCATGTGTTTTAGTCTACTCTTCAAGTTTGGGGTATTTAATAAAGTTTTGGTTTGGTTTTTGTAGTCTGATCTTTACTTTTCACAAAAATTTAAGCCCTCTGGTTTTGTGATTGTTGTTGCCTTCTATAGAAATGAAGCTGTTGTCATTTCTGGAAGGAAACTTGCCCAGCAGATCAAGCAGGAAGTGCGGCAGGAGGTGGAAGAATGGGTGGCATCGGGCAACAAGCGGCCACACCTGAGCGTGGTTCTGGTTGGTGAGAATCCTGCAAGTCACTCCTATGTGCTCAACAAAACGAGGGCGGCTGCAGAAGTGGGTATGTGTCACTCTCAGATCCTGATTGCTACTAAACTGTGGCTTACCTGAGGCAAACTTCATTGTCGTTCATTATTGTTTCTGATTAGAAGACACAATCAGAGGAGGCTAATGTGATTGAACTGTATCCAAAATGTTGTCATAAAGAAATCCAGCCTATCTGCTGGGGAGGTTTATAGACTAGGATAGAAGGAATATGGTGGTATTCTCAGTGCCTTCTGGAATGTAAGCTAAATTCTATCCTTCATCTTAACATTTGACAAATGACGTTGAACACAATTTACATTTGCTTTCCCTGAGCAATTATGCAAGTCTGGCTGAGCTGTTTGAGTTTGATTTGGTTGAGGAGACCTCAGTGATGTGGCCTAGAACACGGTCCTAGGTTTGAAAGAAGTGACTCTGACTTCTAGGAGATAGCTTTCAGCTTCTCCACCAATGGTGTCCAAAGCCAATTAAATCATGCAGTTTAGAGGTGGAGTTTTGAATGCAGAAACCCAGGGTCAGTGTTCTAGGGCTCATTATACCACAGACTTCCTGTGATGGTAGACGAGGGATGGGTGGTCTCAGCTCTGCCTCTCCCTGTTCCTCCGTGGGTCAGTGGTGTGAGCCCCGGGTGCCCTTCCCTTCTGAAAGTCTGTGAAACCACTGGTATGGCTGGACCATGAGCTTTTAGTATTCTCTGTTCTTTATCACTGAGGATTGAGGCTCCCTGCCCTTTTCTTTGTTGTTGTTGTTGTTTTTACTACACTTGATCTTAGCCAAAAGGCCAGTGAGAAGCGATTTTTGTTGTTGTTTTTAATTTAAATTTTAGTTAAGTGACATACAACGCAATATTGGTTTTAGGAGAAGTATTCAGTATTCATCACTCACATACTTACCCAGTGCTCATCACAAGTGCCCTCCCTGATACCCATCACCCACCTAGTCTATCCCCTACCTGCCTTTCCCCATCAACTCTCAGCTTGTTCTGTATCATTAAGGGTCTCTTGTCATTTGTTTCCCTCTATCCTTTTACCCCCTTCCATATGTTCATCTGTTTTTCTTAAACTCTATATGTGAGTGAAATCATATGGTATTTATTTTTCTCTGATTTATTTCGCTTAGCATAATACATTCTAGTTCCATCCAAGTCATTGCAAATGGCAAAATTTCATTCTTTTTCAAGGCTGAGTAATATTCCATGGTATATATACTACATCTTTTAACATTTTTTTAAATGTTTATTTATATTTGAGAGAGAGACAGTGTGCGAGTGCGGGAAGGGTAGAGAGAGACTGAGACAGAATCTGAAGCAGGCTTCGGGCTCTGAACTGTCAGCACAGAGCTCAACGTGGGGCTTGAACCCACGAACCGTGAGATCATGACCTGAGCCGAAGTTGGATGCCTAACCGACTGAGCCACCCAGGCATCCCCCCCCCACATCTTCTTTATCCATTTAGCAGTTGATGGACATTTGTTGCCCTATTCTTTGAAATCTTTAGAACCTCTAGAAAATAGCAAGCTGTGGCTTTTTTAAGACACTGGGAGATAGCACAGTGCAGTGGAAAGAACGTGGACTTTGGATCTGGAAGGATTGCCTTCATTGGCAACTGGCTTATGTTTCAATTTTGCTGAGTCTCAGTCTCCTCGTCTGTAAATTGAGGTTAATGAGGATAGGGTAGAATAATGTATAAAGTTGTCAAGCCAACATTCCCTGGTGTGTATATTTGTGAAGGTACCTTTTTAGGTTCCTTGGGAACTGACTGAGGCTTTTTAGCTACCAGGGTTGAGTGTGATGAAAACCCTCTAGGTTAGAAGACCATGGCAGGCAACATAGCATTGCTCATTAAATGCCTCAATATTTTTTTAACCTTGAGATAATCTTATAGGAATCAACAGTGAGACAATTGTGAAACCAGCTTCAATTTCAGAGGAAGAACTGTTGAATTTAATCAATAAACTAAATAATGATGACAATGTAGATGGCCTCCTTGTTCAGCTACCTCTTCCAGGTGAGTTTTGGACTCTACCACTTAGAATATTTTCTGAGGAGTAGAGGATTCTTTAGTTACTTTATACGCCTGGCCCCTCATGTGGATTTTACTTAAAGGGGAGGTAAATTCAAGAGAGTGAATATTAGATATCCACAGACCTACTCAGAATACTAATTGCTCCTTCTTAATTTGGTATTGAGATCTTTTTCAGAGAGGCAGAGTCAGAGTATGAGCAGAGTAGAGGCAGAGAGAGAGGGAGACACAGAATTTGAAACAGGCTCTAGGCTCTCAACTGTTAGCACAGAGCCTCATGCAGGGCTTGAACCCACAAACCATGAGACCTTGCCCTGTGCCGAAGTTGGATGCTTAACTGACTGAGCCACGAGGCACCCCTATTTATTTGTAGGTCTTTTCTTTTCTTTTTTTTTTTTTTTTTGAGAGAGAGACAGAGGGAGAGAGAGAGAATCCCAAGTAGGCCTCCATGCTGTCAGCACTGGAGCCTGATGTGGGACTTGGACTTAATAACCATGAGGTCATGACCTGAGCTGAGATCAAGAGCTGGACGCTTAACCAGCTGAGCCACCCAGGCACTCCTGGTATTAAGATCTTGATACAAAATGGCATTGGAGGGAAGCAGTTGTACAAGAAGATATTGGCTTTTATATTGGCATTTGTCTTTGCCTGGTGTGTGTTCCTTCTGTGCAGACAAACAAGTAAATCACAGAGGCAAGTCATGGAAGGGGAACTGGTTTGCATGATAAACCAGATAAGTTGGAGTCAGACAGTTGTAACTATGCAGCAGTGACTTCAGGCCACTGTTCTGATTTCTTTTTCAGAGCACATGGATGAGAGAAAGATCTGCAATGCTGTTTCTCCAGACAAGGATGTTGATGGCTTTCATGTAATTAATGTAGGGCGAATGTGTTTGGACCAGTATTCGATGTTACCAGCTACCCCATGGGGTGTCTGGGAAATAATTAAGCGAACTGGTAAGTGTATCCCATAGTTGTATGTCTGTGTTAGTATTATAAGAATAGTACATACGAATGATAAAAAGCCCTACAGTAACAGAATGGGCACTCGGCCACACATCCTCTAGCCTGCCCCCAGAGCCTACCTCTCTCTGCGGTTGCCTATTTTGACTGTTTACCTATTTTGACTGTTGCTATTTAACCCAGAAGCCCTCATAAAGAAAACTTAAGGTTTAATTGTGTTGATAGTGCACACTCCTATCGCATTTTGTAGCTTACAGGGTGCTTTCTCTTTCTTTTTGGCCTTCACTATATGTAGCAGGTGATAGGCCCCATTGACTGATGAGGCAACAAGCTTAGTAACTCCCTTCATTATTACTGGTTCCTGTCCGAAGCTACCTGCCTGCCTTTTTCTTGGGTGCTCATTCTAAGATAGCCTAGCACTCTTTTTAATGCAAATATATATTTTTTTTCATAGGCATTCCAACCCTGGGGAAGAATGTGGTTGTGGCTGGAAGGTCAAAAAACGTTGGAATGCCCATTGCAATGCTACTACACACAGATGGGGCCCACGAACGCCCTGGAGGTAAGACAGTGGAGTTCAGAGGAGTGTTCCCTTCTCCCTTTTGTGCGAACCTTCAGAGGCTGTCCTATGTTTGTTAAACTTTGCATTTGTATTTATTGTGATTTTGTTAGCAGATATTTGGCATATTTAGGGAATGATCTTGGTAGGACAAGCTGAACTCATGTCACCTGAGACTTTTATATTCATTTATTAGGGAACTAGTACAGAAATGGATATGCCTAGAAATAAATTTGAGGGTTTTTTTTGTTTGTTTTTTTTAAAAAATTTTTTTAATGTTTTATTTATTTCTAGGAGAGAGAGAGAGACAGCATGAGCAGGGGAGGGTCAGAGAGAGAGGGAGTCACAGACTCTGAAACAGGCTCCAGGCTCTGAGCTGGCAGTCAGCACAGAGCCCGACGCGGGGCTCGAACCCACGAACCGCGAGATCATGACCTAAGCGAAAGTCGGACGCTTAACCAACTAAGCCACCCAGGCGCCCCTAAATTTGAGTTTTGAGTACAAGCATGGTTGACAGCAATTAGACATTTTCAGTTATGGCTTGGATAGTTGGGGCTAAGAAACCGTTCAAAGTTAGTATCCCATTCTGTGTCATTTGATAGAAAAAAATCAAACCATTGCAAAGGATTGACTTGAAAAGGCTGTAGTGTATCATTATGTCAAGTTCTGTGAATTTGTCTGAAAAAGCCTCATAAATCAGTTCTCACGTGATTATTATATGATCTTACACGATTATATCAGAAATAATGGCAAAACTATGTATTTCCAAATATGTTTCAGCATACTTATTTTTTTAAACTTTGAATAATCCTAGTGATACTTTGCTTAGGAAGGGTAAAATTCTTAAAAGGCTGATAAATATGGGTTGCCTGGGTGGCTTAGTCGGTTGAGCGTCCGACTTTCGCTTAGGTCATGATCTCGCGGTTCGTGGGTTCGATCCCCGTGTCGGGCTCTGTGCTGACTGCCAGCTCAGAGCCTGGAGCCTGTTTCAGTCTGTGACTCCCTGTCTCTCTGACCCTCCCCTGCTCACGCTGTCTCTCTCTCTCTCTCTCGTAGAAATAAAAATAAATAAATAAATAAATAAATAAAAAGGCTGCTAAATAGAGTAAGGAATAAATGTAATTATATATGATTCAAAAGGGTAGAGCTAGGATGAGGGGATGAAAGTTATAAGAAATTGGGTATTCATTTCTGAAAAGTGAATGATGCTGAGCTGTCCAGAAAATATGGTACACGAATTAAGTCCATTATTTTTTTCAGAGATGGTGAATTTCTAAAATGGGTTGACTAATTGAGACCTAATCCAGTCTCAGCTTTGATTCTGAAATCAGGACATCTGTATTTTGACTCCTAGGCGATGCCACTGTTACAATATCTCATCGATACACTCCCAAAGAGCAACTGAAGAAACATACAGTTCTCGCTGACATTGTGGTGTCTGCTGCAGGTACGAACACTGTGGAGGGGATGAAAGGGTAGCTCCTAGAATCTTAGAATTTGCCTGCCTCTCTACTATCCCATTCCTGTTCCTCTAGGGATGACACTGTGAGCTGCCCACAAAGAGGAAGTGGGAACTGCATGCAGTGTTGGTTTCTAGCTTTCTACTATAGACTTGGTGGGTGAATGTTACTTCAAAAGGGCCCAAATATTTGTTTTTACTGTATGAAGTTTCAGTTGTTCCTTGGCTAACAGTTTTTACAGGTTTTCACGAAACAAGCCTATCAGTTCTTCTGGGTCTCTTAAAATTGCTATCAGATAAGACTTTGACAGGTGGAATCTTTCTTTCAGTACTAGTGACCATTCCTGTCGTTCCTGTCTCTGTCTCTTTGCAGGCATTCCAAATCTGATCACAGCAGATATGATCAAAGAGGGAGCAGCAGTCATTGATGTGGGAATAAATAGAATTCAAGATCCCATCACTGCTAAACCCAAGTTGGTTGGAGATGTGGATTTTGAAGGTAAATGCTATAGTTTTCTTAAAATATAAAATCAGTAAATACTACCTTTAATGGACATCTAGGACAAATCCTTTACGTTTCTTTAACTTTAAACTTACATTACTCTGGGGGCTCCTGGCTGGCTCGGTCATGCGAGTCTTGATCTTGAGGTTGTGAGTTTGAGTCCCACGTTGGAGGTAGAGAGTACTTTAAAAAATTTTTAAAAAAAGCAACTTAGGTTACTCTGGTAATTTAAAATGTATCCCACATGAATTAAGAGAAATCTTTTAAGAAATGATAGTCATTCTAGAAGCATTTTAGGATGTTTATATCATAATATTATGGGGACCAGCTATAAGCTTTTCAGAGAGGTATTCATTCTTTCCTTAGGGTTACTTCGTAATTGAAATGACTTCATGACTTAACAAGTCTGAAAATTTAATGAAGTGACTTTCTGAAACCATTGAGAAGGTGTTACAGATTTATCATTTTCACATTGAAAGGGGAGATCACAAATCTGAACTGTTAAAAATGGTCCAGGAAAAAGTCACATTCCTGACTTTTGAAGTATACTAGTAGATTTCTCCTTTCGGTATTTAAGGTATCATGTTTATCTCAACTTTATGTTGATAAATCTATCTCTAGCTTTCCATTTCTAATAAAGCAGTCAGACACAAGCCTAGGTACCTAAGTTTTTGTTTCTAAGATTGGATTAAAAAAATCTTCTCACTTTCCAGAAAATTACTTTGCTCGGTGCTTTGAGTAAACAGTATATAGTTAAATAAATCTAGTAAATAAATAGTAACTAAATAAAATACAGTAAAATTAAGAAACTGTTGTGGGCAGGTATTGTTAATATATTAATATTAGTAACATAAGGATAATTATTATAGTTATACTTCACATATAGTTAACCCATCAAAGTATTTCTTTTTAAATTGATTTAATATGGAGGAAAAGTATGACCGGTAAATTACAGATTATTTAGATGTATAAATACTCATTGAACAACTCCTTATTACGTGCATGTTATTTTATTAGTATGTTCAAAAACCTTTAACTCTGAGTCATGTAGCTGTGATTTTTTTTTAAATGAGTTTGAGGTTTATGAAAGTGCTTATGTATATTCTTGCTCTTTCTTTAAATGCTTCTCCATGGTCTGTTAAAACGCATACTTTTCCTTTGCTATAATTAAAGCAGTCTACCTGTCCTGTTCCCATGTAGGCGTCCGAAAGAAAGCTGGTTACATCACTCCAGTTCCTGGGGGTGTTGGCCCCATGACAGTGGCGATGCTAATGAAGAACACCATTATTGCTGCAAAAAAGGTGCTGAGGCTTGAAGAGCGGGAAGTATTGAAGCCTAAGGAGCGTGGAGTTGCTACTAATTAACTGTTATGCCTTCTGTCACAAACAACAGTCCAAGCCAGTTCAAGAGGCAAAACAGACCAATAGAAATGCAATATTTTTTATTTATTTTACCGAAATGGTTTAAAATAATGCTTTGTATTTATTGAAAGCTTAAATGAGTGGGTGTTTGTGCACAGAGCTCTGCAGTAGCTCACCATGGAGCATGCCCGTATCCTGCTGGGTCGTGTGATCCAGCCAAGAGAAGCCATTAACCTAGTGATTAACATGGAGGACACTGCCACCTTGAGAATGGTTGCTTACCTTTATCAAGCCACTTCAGTTAAAATTTGCCTTTTCTAGGATTGCATTTCCCAAGTGCTATTCCAATAAGAGTTGATACTCACTTTAGGTTCCAAACCTTTTGAGTTCAACTGGTCAAACCAAAGGAAAAGTGTTGCTAGAGAAAATTAGGGAAAAGGTAAAAAGGAAGAAATGGTAATTGAGTAGAAAAAAATTACTCTAATTTACATACATACTGTATGTAAAAACTACATGTTAATGGTGTCCTAAACTGTCATTTCATGGTTTAGTCATTGGGAAAATGTTTATAGTGGTTCCATGTGCTGTTAGTCTTCGTTTTATGTATGTTACATTCATGAGGTTTCCCCACTTTTTTCTAGGATTGAAAGGCTTATTTTATAGATTATTTGTGTGTGTTGTCCATTTGGCTTTTCCAATATCCTTAAACTTTATTGTTACATCTTTGTACTGTTGAGGGTGTCTGTATGGTTTCCTTGGTATATCTTGAAACTATTTTTGAAAAACAAAACTTGGGCTTGATAATCATTAGGGCAGCTTGTAGTATGCAACTTACTTTTCCACCAAAGACTTGTCAGCAGCTGCCTGCTTTGATGTAACCTGTTGGCTTCCCCCGATGGGTTTTTGAGAACTTGAGTTAATATTGAATTTAATCAGACTTTCTGATTAAAAGGGTTTTTGTGTGTGTGTGTTTGTTTCACCATCTTTTTTTTTTTTTTTTTAAATAAAACCCTTCTGACTGGTGTGGAATGAGTTTCTAAAATACTGTATCTTCCTGCTACAGTCTTACTTGTGACCTAATCACAGTTAATCTTCTCAGACCTAATAACTGACATAGATATTCTTGTATTTGGTAACACCTAAACCTGTGCCTTAAACTGATACAAAGCGCGGTGGAGAAATCAGTCTAGTCCTTTTAGTCTTACATCCCAACAGATTGTGCCAAGCCAAGAGCTTAATCTGTAAGATTCATTTAAGTGGTTAGGCCTATTCTGGGTGCTCTCTAAACCATGCAGTTTAATGTACACATTGTTGGTTTTACACAGCACTTCTTGTACCAATGTGCCAATGCCCCCTTCATCCTGCCCCCTTCCTCTATATAGATTTATTTTTTTCAGTGTGTGTTCGATTTGACAGATTGGAAGGTGTTTGCTGTGCATATTTTGAGGTTGGGACAGGTCCCTTTGTATCCTCTGTTCTTTACCAGGACTGGGTATTTTGGTTTCAAAGCAGGCAGATGAAAAAGCTGTTCTAGGCAGCTTGAGATAGAAAGAGAAAGAACAAGGGGGAAGTAAGTCTACCCCCCGCCCCTTGTTCTTCTGCCAACTGCCTTTATTCTTTTTTAAATGTTTATTCATTTTTGAGAGGGGGATACAAAGGATCCAAAGTGGACCCTATGCTGACAGCAGAGCCTGATGTAGGACTTGAACTCATGAACTGCAAGATTGTGACCTGAGCCACCTAAGTCATACACTCAACCAACGGAGCTGCCCAGGTGCCCCTGCCTTTATTCTTTTGATAGTTTTCTGGAGATATAAGAAGATGATAGTTTGCAAGATGAGCGGACAGGATTAAGTTTTATTGAATTACAATTACAAATGGAAAAAGTTCTGACCTACTGCAAGGAGAAGTAACAATATGTCAACCTGTTAAAAGCTATCAAACTAAAATGTTCATGTATATACAAAATATAAACGACATAAGGTGAAAATTACAGTGATCAATTTACAACAACAAAAAATTAACATCCTTTTCCAACTTGTTTGATTAATCAAGCACATTTACTCTGGAATCCATAACATTTCTACATTTTAATTTGGACAAAGTGCCACTGGAAATCAGCCTAGTTTTAAAACAAATGTTAAGGGTAGATTGTTAGCTCTTCAGGATTGGTGCAGATGAAGCTATAGAATTCATGCTTAAATTCAGGTGATGGTTCTGGATTAGTGAGCAGCTTAGTCATCTGCTGTGATCAAGTGGGAGAGGTTTAGAGCTTTACCTCTTGGCAGTATCCCTTGGAAAGGAGCTCTGAGATTTAATAAACATTTGCTGAGAGTTTTCCCACGGACCAGGCACCGTACAAGCTCTGAAGATCGTAGAGGCAATTAGCTGTCCTAGTACCCAAGTGTTAATGATCTAGTGTCATTTGTCTTTAAAAAATAGAAAAGAATAAAGAAAAAGCACCTGCATTTGTCATCTTGAGTAAATGTGACTGACCAAAGTGATTTACTCAAGATTCAAATCCGTAGTTATTTTGGAGACCGTAAATGTCAGATGCATTGCAGTTATCAGGCACATAGTAGGTGTTAAATAAACAATATTGGTGTTTGTTAAATAGGGATTGAAGATAGACTAAGTTTTATGCTTTTTTACTGATGAGTCATTAATCTATCCAACTTGCTTCCAATCATTCCTTTAAAGTAGTAATCTAATACCGCAAAGTTATGATCTAATGTTTTATATTACATGTAAAACCTACATGCAGTGGTCATGTGAATGGGAGTTTGGCTTTGCAAATCAGGCCATTGAAAACTTGTAGGAAGGGCCTACCTGAAGGTATAAAGAAATCTTATTCTGGGTATGAAAAACCAGTGATACTAATTTAAAGGGTCGTTTTGTTGTTGTAACATGGGGTTTGAAGTTCACTTTAACAAGAACAATTTTTTTTTAAAAACATTTACCCACTGTAATGTGTTGTCTCTTTCATTAACAGACTTTTGGAACTGGCTTTTCAATCTGGGAAAGCTCCATTCACACTTCTGTGCTGGAACAAGGCCCACAATGCATGCATATGGTTTAAACTTGACAAATGGCTCTTAGAGAACTGAATGAGATAGGAAGACAAGATAGGACCTTTGAAACGTTTCTTCCCATGCCAAGTTGCAAAACAAATTTTCCAGCCTTGGCCTACTGAAGTGTGAGCATTTTAATAGTTCTTTTAAGACCCTCTAGATATTTTAAAATCTAAACTTAGGGGTGCCTGGGTGGCTTAGTCGGTTAAGCGTCTGACTTTCGCTTAGGTCATGATCTCGCGGTTCGTGGGTTCGAGCCCCGCGTCGGGCTCTGTGCTGACTGCCAGCTCAGAGCCTGGAGCCTGTTTCAGTCTGTGACTCCCTCTCTCTCTGACCCTCCCCTGCTCACGCTGTCTCTCTCTCTCTCAAAAGTAAATCAAACATTAAAAAAAAATCTTAAAAAAAAAAAAAATCTAAACTTAAAGAAAAATCTAATTGATATTTGTTTTAATAAAAATTTACTACTGCCCCTTTATCCTAGCTATAATTTTGGGAGGCAAGCATTTTTTTTCATTTCAAGACATGTTATAATATCTATCCTGGACTGCCATTTAAAGTATGTTTCCTTTGTTGTTTTCATAACTACAAAAAGGAGACAGCTTTGCACATAAGTAGTACTTTTCATCCACAGATCAGTTTTCTATCCAGTGGAATGACTCCATCTGTTTGGCAAATAAGGAAACTGGCACAGGGAAGTTCAGGTGTTCGGCTCAGACCTCACAGTGAAGATTAAACCACGCCCTTCCACAGTGAAGATTAAACCACATCGGGGGAAGCTGCATCCTAGAGGGTGGTCTCGCCGTCAGTTTCTCTTCCATATCTGTCCATGTCTGTGAAGTCACAGTCTGACTCCATTTCTATCTTCACCTGTGGCACCATGAACACTGGGCTCTGTGAGTAGTTGAAAGCGGGTGAAGCTGGACAGGAAATTCTGAAGTGCAATGTGATGCTGAAAGAAAAAGAGGGAGGGAAAAGTGATTTATTTAGTACTGGGTGTTTTCAATGCTATCCCCCAAGGCAGGACTCCAGTGCAGATAGTTGTCTTTGCTTATGAACTCTTAACACGTCATGGGAATGATTGGCATCCTCTGCAGTTGGCCTTCAGCTGTGGTTGCTTAGCTAGTCTCGCCACGAGGTTCAGCCTGGTCTTCACATTGCTGCTAAAATGAACTTTCTGGGTCACAGATCTGTCTGTGATTCCCACTGTTCAAAAGTTAGAATCCAAGCTCCTTAGTGTGGGCAGACAGGGCCTTTTCTGTTTGCATTCCTGATTATTTGTAGTTTGACCAACCTGTTCCTCCTAGCAGTCTTCACTGTTTGTATATTTTCAAATATACATGTTCCCACTGCCTGAAATGCCCTTCTTCTGACTCTTCTTCACTTTGTATATCTGGCAGACTCCTATTTTTCACTCCCAGACTCCATAAGGCAAATCCCTCCATTAGACACTGACCTTTCTTTTCCGTGCACTCCACTGTTCTTGGCACATGGTGCTGTATGTCTTTGTTCAGAGGCCTGTCATTAACCATGCTGTTATTTTATTCTACATAGTATCAGAGTACCTGGTGTTTTTGATTCTTAGACCTCCTTTTAACCCGGCATTCAATAATACATACTTAGGTCATGTGTAGTTTTTCTGTATGTTGTTTTTCCCCCAGTATTTTCAGTTTTCATTCTATGTAGCATTCTGTAAAAATTTCCTTTTCTAAAGTTGAATACCTTTTGTATTGTAATCATGTTATGTCAGTAAAAGGACAGATTTGTTGCTTGACCCCAATAACTAGGTCTCTCCACTTCTGATGGACCAGCAAAGGCCTTTACAGAGATACTACCTAGCCTGAGAAATCCCTCACCCCTCAGCCTTCCAGGCCTTTGCTTAGTCTCTTATCTAAAACCCAAGGAGTCTACTTCATGGCCATTACCTTCGGTCAAGTTCTGAGTCACTGAAGGAAGAATCAGAATGAGTAACTCCAACTGGAAGATCTTTTTCCTGGTAGGAAAATTAAAATGTCAGTTGTGGAGGAGGTTTGAGGACTATACTAGAGAAGGCATTTCTCCAGTGCTTCCTCACCCTTCTTTCTGTTCTCTAACCCACACGGCCAACACTACAGAAGAGGAATTCAGGGGCCTCACAGGGTTGGGTGACCATAGGCTCAGGTTTTCCTTCACCAGAGGGTTCTTAGCCAGGTTAGGTGGGTGTGAGGCATGGGCAGGGCCAGGCAAGAGTGAGAAAGGGTGATGGAAATATACAAATGGGAAGGAGGAAGGAGAATTAGAAACTAAAAAAAGAGATACCTCTGACAGAGAGTATGATGGGAAGCCCTTCAAGGGTTCCGGTAGGATTCTAATCTGGGTCTTTTAGAAAAAAGTGGCAAGCCCTATATTACGAGCACTGGAGTCAAGAATCAAGTGGGATCTTTCTGATTACTTTCAGGTAAGGCTATGTTGTATTCTCCACCGGTAAGCCCCTGAAGCTGGGAGGGGGTAAAAGTAGCCACAGAATCCCCCAGGGTCTTCATAAGCAAAGCCTGATGCCTTTAGCAGGAGGAAGATCCTTGTGATTCACATCAAAGCACAGCCCAACCACTAAAACCTCCCCTTCTGACAAAAATTCGTGATCCCAGTGCTATGCTACCTATTTCTCTAAAGGGGACAACTCAGCTTGGATTTGAACTCCCAATCATTTTCAATAACCACTGGAAAACATGGGAGGCTCAGGAAGTCATGATTGGATAGATGTGGTCTGAAACGATTCAAGAGATGGCCAGGTAGTGCTATAGACATCAGGAGGCACGAGGGGAAAGGAAGGAATGAAGGACTTTGCCTAAATGGAAGTGAAGATTGATCATTGGCATCTGCAGGATTTGATTTGGGGTTTCTATTTGGTTGAAGTCTCAATCCGTGAGAACTTGTGACCCAGTTCTCATTGAACTCTGCCTACCACAAGAGTCCTCTAGCATAAGACTATTAGTTCCCCCTGAGTTAAAGATGAAAGTTCCTTGGAGGAAGAGCTAGAGGATTAGTAAGTAGGAAGGGAGAGACACCATGTGTTTTACTTACTGGCAATGCAGTGGATACCAATTTGGGGATCTGACTGGATACTTTCCATGGGAATCTTTATAACTGAGGGAGGAGGGAACTGGGGCTGGAGAGAAACAGTGGGAAAAGCTGATAAACACCAGCAATACAACAGCTTTGGCTTTCTTGCCAAGAAGGAAAATACATGCACCACAATGTGCCAACCACCATCCTCTCTACATCTAGTCTAAACATTTGGGAGGTGCTACAAATACTCTTGTGCTACAAATACTGAGGGGCAATCATAGTTAGCCAACACTAGCCTTGCTAGTCCTAGACCAGACAGAACTCTTCCAGGAACGTTATTGATCAGAACAGTTTCAACTGTCACGGTAACCAATCTTTGGGGAGTGAATCTCACACAATGGCTGGTGCTGCTGTAAAGACACATGTAAAATGAATTTATGTAAATTGAATCCCATTTTTTCCATTGAGTTTTTCATGCTTTTCCCCAACCCTGGAAAAGTTCCTGGCACATGGTAGCCACTCAAGTATTTATTGAATGAATCAATGAAAGAATAACTATTTGTCAAAAAAAAAAAAAAAAGAAAGAAAAAGAATAACTATTTGTCTTTAAAAGGCATTTAGACTTTCTTTTTTTCAAGGCCTATCTTTACAAACCAACTAAATCATGAATGAAAAACATGTGAATGAATGATGAGCCTCTTCCTACCTGGAAGAGGAAAGTAATTAAGGACCAGGGGAGTTTGGGTCTATCACTACCATCAGAAGATGGTTTGATTGCCACTAATCAAGGAAGAGCTCTGATCTGCAAAAGGCAAAATCACTAGAGCAGTTCAAGGTAGATGCAGGGATGTGGGTTCAGGTCAAACCAGGAGAATGAGAGGCCAGGCACGGTGTCAGAAGATGGCATGGGCAGCTTAACATATTGGAAATGATCAAATTCAAAGTCAGGAACAGTCTTCTTAATTCCCTTTTAGACATTTAGTCATATGTCCATCTTGGGTGAACTACTTCCCTTTGGGGGGACCATTTCATCATCTGTAATAAGCACTTGAACTAGATAATCTTTCTGCTTAACACTTTGTGATTTACTGTAAGTTCTGGACTGGCTTCCTGTCTGTTGATTCCCTGAGTGTTTTGGGGGTGGGATGGGGAGGAAGCATGAAAGAAGAGGGGTAGATGGGCAACCAGGTGGTCCCCAGCATCTGAAGAATGTAGCCACTCTCCTTTCAGTGAGGACATAGCCTCTCCCCCACCTTCTTCCCTAACACCATGAGGGCAGGCCAAGCAAACCTTGTCCCCCAGTCCTTCCAACTGTCCAGGAGTCTAGTCTACTGATGGGTACCCTTCAGACTCCTCCCCCAAGGCCTGCTCCTTTCTTTGGAGGTTAGTCTTCTTAACTTCCTCCATCATGGAGCCAAGCCTTCTGCCCTGTTCCATCAAAGACTTGTACTGGTGTTAATAATCGCCCCAGGAACTCACAGAAATGAGAAAGAGTGGGTGTGGCAACCAGCCTTTCCCTGGGTTGGGGGCGGGGATCATTCACTGCGGCCCACCCTGAGGATATTCACATAAGCAGACAAACTCAGCATCCCACACCAATATAAGCAGAAGCCTCAGCTCATCCTGGACTAGGCCTAGGTGATCACAGCTGGCTGCTTGGGAAGCCACCTCCTCCCTGGCCCTGGCAGAAGTGGAGGGATGATCTCTTGATCTTTTCCCTCAGCCCTGGCCTCACATCCTCCCCACCTCCTCATCACTGTCCTCAGGGACCCCTTTCCTTCTCTTCTTCTTCTTATCCGCCTCCTTCTTCTCCTTCTCTGGGAGGATATTGTCAATCCAGGCCAAATCATGCTGGGAGAAGATGAGGTCCAGAAGCCTTCGAACGATGATCAGGCCCAGGATCTGTGGTGAGAGTTCAGAAAAAACATGGGCTCAAAGCCCCAAAGTCAGACTGTTTTTTCTCCCTCAGTCAGCTATACTCAGGGACTTTGCCTAGTGTCTTTGGAGCCATCTCAGAGCTCCCACAAACCATCATTCACCTTCTGCCCAGCTTGGTTCCTCTCATCTGCTCTTTCTTCAGTTGACTAACAAAGCTTATCAGTGACAGAGCCTGTGGCAGCTGAGGCCTAAGGACTAGAGAACTATAGTTATTCTTTAAATTAGTGGTCCTCAAATTTGAGCTCCCATCAAAACACATGGAGGGCTTGTTAATACACACACTGTTGAATGCTACCACCCAGAGGTTCTGATTCAGCAAGTCTGGGGTGGGGCCTGAGGATCTGCATCTCTAACAAGCTTCCCTAGGAGATAGGTGATACTTCTGGATCAGAGATCACACTTTGAGACCCACTGTCCCTGCCCCTATTTCTGAGAACTGCCAATCTCTCTGTTAACAAAGTATAAAGTATACTGAATAAAGTGTACTGGGATAGCAGGAATTTTTACAGTAAAGTCTAGAAAGTTTGGTTCTATTAGCCAACTTAAAGGGAAAACACATGTGCACTTTGGGGAAGATTAAATACTGGCCTTTCAATAGACTCAATGGGCCCAGAGTAACTAGTTACTAGTTACTGCCCCTTTACTATTAAGAACTGGCCATTAAATGAGATCAGGCAGAAAACCAGATCAGGCAGAAAACCATTCAGATGAGTTTAACTCTGGTTCCTCACTGACCATTTCCAGGGAGCAAGTAGATCTTGGGAACTGGACAGACCTGGGTTTTGAAAATCCTGGCTCTGAAAATAAAATAGTGGTTGCTAGGGGCAGGGGTGGGAAGATGCACTGTCTGCATAGAAATGGCATGAGGACATTTTAGGGATGAGGGAATTGTTTTCTATCATGGCTGTGATTGCGGAACCACTATTCTGTGCATTTGTCAAAACTCAGAACCACAGAGTAAGTGTTAGTGCATATAAATTTAAAAAGTATCAATGGGGGGGGGGGGGGAGGATAGGGGAATCTTGGCTCTGCTCCTGGTTGTATGAGTTGGGTAACTGAGACATGTCCTCTGAGCCTGACTTTTCTCACCTGTAAAGTGGGATTAGTAGTAGTATTTCAGGGCTAGGGTGGACTAAATGAAATAGTACTCCATACATGCTAATCATGACTATAATTTCCTTTCATTTCCCTTTGTTAACGCTGAACCCCATGAGGGCTCCATTGGGGAGGATGCCCTTCCCTTTCCTTGGAGTGGTAGGTCTCAACCTTCACTGCACATTTATGCTCTCCTGGTATATTACAAATACCAATGCCTGTGCTTCTCCAAGAGGTACTGATTTAATTGAGTTGGGGTGAGATCTGGGCACACAGTTTTTAAAAAAAAAAAAGCTCCCAAATGATTCTAATGGTCACCCAGGGCTGAGAATCCCAGGGAGACACATTTCAAGTCCCACCTCTAAATCCTCACTTTAGTGCCAGTCCCTAGTCTGGCCCTGCAGGCTTCGGGACCCACCCAGGGCTTTCCCTAAGCACTAGCCCCCATCCTCCAGCAGGGGCCTGGGGCCAATTCCCTCAGATGGGATTATCCAGGGGCTAGACAACATGTTATTGGCTGTTCTTCTTTTCACTTTTTATTATGGAATAATTTCTTTTTTTTTTTTAATAATTTTTTTAAATATTTTTATTTATTTCTAGGAGAGAGAGAGAGAGAGAGACAGCGTGAACAGGGGAGGGTCAGAGAGAGAGGGAGTCACAGACTCTGAAATAGGCTCCAGGCTCTGAGCCGGCAGTCAGCACAGAGCCTGACGCGGGGCTCGAACCCAAGAACCGCGAGATCATGACCTAAGCGAAAGTCGGACGCTTAACCGACTAAGCCACCCAGGCGCCCCTATTCCAGAATAATTTCAAGCTTATATAAAATTTCAAGAATAGTCAAAGAACCTCCTGCACTTTTCACAGCTTCCCCAAACCTCATGTTGGTGACATTAGACTATGAAATCCTTACTCTCTGGTTTTAGTTCTCCTCCTCACCCTCCATTAGCTTTTCAAATTGTTATTTTGAATAGTGAAAATTTATTTAGTGCAGGTGTTCTAAAGTCCTCTGCATTTGGCTTGAATTCTGGCAGTGGGGGCTTTGTCTCCTTGTTGACTTTACCCAGCTTCTCCATTCTGCCCCAGAGCGAGGAGGTTAAAGGGCTTTTGCATTCTGCTGAGTGCCAGGGTGTGAGCCAGGTGGAGATGGGCCTGTGCCCCCACCCCCGACCCTTGCTCCTCTGGCCTGCACTCACATGAATCCTGTTCTGTGCTTGCCTCTGTGACCCTGATAGTCAGGCCATCTGCGACGGTGGACCTCCCCATGGACACCGGCCCAGGTCCAATCCGCCGAGCAGGATGGGGAGCCCGTGCCCACCTTACCATGACGGGGAAGATAATGGCGGCCATCGTGGACTTGAGGATCCAGAGCACCACCAGGCAGAGTATCTGCACCAGGGTGAAGAGGTGGATCCGGCGCAGGGGCACATGCCGCAGAAAGGCGTGGTCTGGCTGGTGCTTGGCCGGCATCAGGAAGAGCTTGCAGCGTTCCCAGAACTGGCAAGAAGAAGATGAGGCTCAACCAGGTGGTGGGGACACCGCCAGTGAGATGGCCCTGCTGGGGGTTGGGGACTCAGGGAAAGGGGTGACGCGGTGGGGTCTCAGAAGGTAGTCCCTCATTGGGCCTAAGAAACGCACTGGAGGGGACTGGAGGTCTGGGAGGGGACCTGATCCCTGCCCAAGAAACGGGCCACAAATGAAAACTGCACATTCGAGAAAAATTCAGCACCAACTATCTGAGACATCCGATGCATCACGGTAAATAAAGAACAAAACAAAATATTTTCCTCCGCCAGAGTTGCCTTAGAGAAGAGAGAGATGTAATGAAATGCTCCTTGGAGTCAGCCCCACCAGGGTTCTGAATCCTGAGGCTGTCCCCTCATCTGTAAAATAGGTAACACAGCACCTATTTATACAAATTTCGCTGTAGAAGACTATAAAGTGCCTGGTATAGTTATTTTACTTGGTACACGGTAAGTGGTAGTATCTTTATCGCTGTTATTCTTCCACGGAGCTAGGAAAGCAAGCACTTGGTGTTTGGGCAACATGGCAGCTGACTTCCCTCGGATCAGCCTGGCGGTGGGCAGGGTGGGGAGGAGAGACTTACCTGGATGCCATTCAGGGAGGCCACGCCCATGTAGAGGAAGACTCCATACAGCACGGGCAAGGGAATGTACTGAAATGAGACAGGGATGCGGAGCTTTGAACCGGGTCTCTGCCAGGGGCAGGCTGTTGGCTGCCCTGTTCTGCAGACAATGTCTGCCAAGTTTCAGGCAGCCTGCCTGCCTCAGCTGTCCCCAAGCCATGGAGGAGCTGGATGTTCTGGGGGAAACTAAGCCTCTGAGAGCAGATCTGGAGCCAGTGTGGTGGGGAGGGCTGACCTGCCCCCTTCTTTCTGTGCAGCTGCTCTCCCAGCCTGTATGCCCTCTTTTGGCCCCTGCAGAAGCCATGAGCGTGGGCTGAAGACACACCTTCTGGAACACCGAAAGCTCCATAGAAAGCCCCCTGTTTATTCTTGTCAGCTCCTTTCCACTCCCAGGCCAAGCTGAAGACTGCCTCCCACCCCAAAAAGCTGCATTGTTCTGTGGACCTTTAGTGAGCTGACTTACATTAGCAGAGAGTACCTGCTGAATAACAAAAATCATATACCATACAAAATCAGATTTTAAAAAGAAGCAAAACAGATATGTATGTGCATATCCACCACTAATTAATATAACCACCACTCATTGCCAACTAACCACTAATGGTTTGGTAGGGTTCTTTCTTTTGAGTGATGCTCACAGGTAGTTTGTTAGCTTTTTAAAAAAAAAAAAAAAGGGATCATACATATCATTCATACCTTCTACAGACACCATTATGACTCTTTAGAAGCCTTTTGAGGTATTTCTCCACTGTCTGTCTTAGCTGTGTTTCTGCTTCTTTCATCCTTTTGTTTATCTGCCCCTTTGGCTTACCACTGTGAACAAGGCTCTACCTCGATTCCAGGGTTGCCATGTTGGAATATGTGGAAGAATACAAGTCCTGTACCCAACTTTTAGATGCCATCTAGAATGTCCATAAATCCAACTGAATAAATAACCACTCTTTTAAAATAAATTAGACAGGGCTCAGTTTTTAAACACAAACCATGATTTGGACCTATATGATACAAACTTTAATCTAAGACATTGATCTTAAAGAAAGGAAATATGACCCATTGCATCATTCCATTTGTACATGACTTAAGAGATTTTTGCCTAATGGGGCACCTGGGTAGCTCAGTCGGTTAAGCGTCCAACTTCAGCCCAGGTCATGGTCTCACAGTCTGTGGGTTCAAGCCCCGCATTGGGCTCTGTGCAGACAGCTCAGAGCCTGGAGCCTATTTCAGATTCTGTGTCTCCCTCTCTCTCTCTGCCCCTCCCCAGCTCGAGCTCTGCCTCTCTCTGTCTCAAAAATAAATAAACGTTAAAATTTTTTTAAAAAGATTTTTGCCTAATTATGAAACAAAGTAAAAACTTTCCATGAACAACACTGTCCTAATCATTCTCACAGTGTGGGAGCAATTGAGAGAGAAATAAAATCTTAAATAAAAGACTTAGCTATTGTCTATAATAACACAAATTTAGATGGCTTAAAAATTCCCTTTTGGCCTAATGAGTGTGAAAACTACATCAAACAGGAGAATTGGGCTAAGTCTTAGGTAATTTGCAGTTACCAGTGCCTGGTCGTAAAGTCCCCTTTCGACCCTAGGAATTTATCTCCTGTCCTGTCACTTACAGGCTCAAACAGCTTTCTTGGAAAATCCCAAAGGCCCATGACATCACACTCTGACCACTGATGGGGGTTGTGATCTAAAATTCTAGATTAGTCAGCACAAATCTTCCTTGGATTCCCAAAGAAAGCCTCTTCTCAAATATTAATGAAACAAAGTGGCAAAAAAAAAAAGGTGCCTCTAGTGTCTGCTTTCTACCCTCTGTTGGAGGAGTCAACAATGATCGCAGTCCCACAAATGTAAGACATCACAGCTCTCCCATATAATTTGAGGCTGAGACCATGAGAACAGCTCATGGAGCTCAGAAGGGGAGCTTCTGATATGGTCAGGGGCTCCCCTGAGGCAGAATGCTGAAATCCACAGCCCTGAACAGCAGTGACAAGGTGCGAGTAAAACATGAAACAAATGAGACCAACGTCAGGGCTTGGGAAGGACTAGGAATCTGCAGAACTGAGTAAGTCATTTATGCTGCCCATCAGATAACATGGCCTCCTCATCTCTCAGTGCTCTTGTGTGGCAAGATAACCAAAGATTTGCAAATTGGTGATGAAAGAGTTGAAGATCACGCTGATCCTTTAGCAGTAAAAATCACTGTCTAAAATTAGTATACATCCACCAAGGGAGGGATTTCATTCCTTACTCCTGAAAGTGTAGTCTCTGGACCAGTGTTACTGGCATCACCTGTGAACTTGTTAAAAATGCAGAGTTTGGGATCCCACCTAGACTTCCTGAATCAGTATCTTTTTCTTAATTATTTTTTTTAATGTTTATTTTTGAAGGAGGCAGCTACAGAGCATGAGCAGGGGAGAGGCAGAGGGAGAGGGAGACACAGAATCCAAAGCAGGCTCCAGGCTCTGAGCTGTCTGCACAGGACCCGATGCAGGGCTTGAACTCACAAACTGTGAGACCATGACCCGAGCAGAAGTCGGATGCCTAACTGACTGAGCCACCCATGTGCCCTCAGTATCTTTTTTAAAATTAAGTTTTAATTTTAATTCCAGTATAGTTAGCATACAGTATTATATTAGTATCTTTCTTTAACAAGATTCCCAGGTGATTTTTATACATATTAAAATTTGAGAAACCTTTAGAGCAGAATTCTACTGGATGGATTGGTACATAGGTATAGTGAATAACCAACTTAGAAACATTGATAAAAATAGAAAAACTGGTAACTAGGATTCAATTTGCATCTTCTAAATTTTGTAGCACCAAAGAGACCCCTCTTCTGTTGGCTACATAAACAAGAAGTAAAGATCTCAACTAAAATATGTTTAGGGTAGACAGCCCTCCAGTGTAAGTCCTCTGAGGTTGGTATGCACCCAGCCCTCCCTAATTTGACAGACAAGGGCAAACTGAGAGTTGCAGAAAGTTAAGTAAGCTTTATGGAAAATTTTTCTTATTGGAAATAGAGACTGGGATTAAATCTAGGACCTCAGACCTGGGTTAAGTTATAGTTGTCTTGAACTGGTTATACAAAATATCTTTTCTTTCACCTAAAATTAACATAGTATTTAGTACTGGTGTCAGCTAGTGAGGATGCTTTCATCACTTAACCAACAGTTTCAAAAGCCTATCTCTTTTGTTGTTGTTGTTGTTGTTGTTGATGTTGTTAGAATGATTTTCTTTTGCTTGGTTAAGATGGAAGACTCTTGAATAAGATAGTTGTTGGGTTGTGATGGGGAACGTCTGTCTCAAAGACATTCTTCAGCTCTCATTCCCAGGAGTAGTTCTGGGTGGAATCACTCTCTGAAGAAGTATGTGCAAAGTTGCTGGCTTGTCTGAAAGCCTGTCTTCATTAAAAAGTATAAAACTATAAATTAAATAAATAAAACAAAAAAATATATACCTTAATACAATCAAATGAGAAATCCTAAGTCTTATGATCAATAAAAATCTAGATAGGTCTTCTCTGCTATAAAATTTATCAAACAGATTAATTGGTAGTGAATAAAATAATATTGCATTTTTTCCACTCTCATTATAAAAGAACTTGGGTAGAACTTTTCAGATCATTTTGTCATTGAATACAAGTATGATATCGGAGCCTTTAGAGCTCTGTGGACTCATGGATACTTTTGCATGATGGCCAGAGTAATGACATTGCCCCATATCTGGTTTTAGAAGCAACCAAACCTGGCAACACTCTGGTCATGGACTTGTAGCCTTCAGAACTGTAAGAAAGTAAGTGTTATATATGCTGCCCAGTTTGTGAAATTGTGTTATGGTAGCAAACGAATACTACAGGTGAGTTGCTGAATTGGACAGACAGAGACACCTAAGCAGAAGGAGACTGTTCTGGGGACACAGGCTCTGAATATTTGATTTCATCTCTACCAGTTGGTCTGGAAGGACATGAGCAAAAGGAGCTTCCAATTGTGTGGGGAAAATCAGTTATATGCCCAACACTCATAAGAGGAGCAGAGAACAGGTTGCAAAATAATCTGTAGAAGGCTTCCCTCAGAAAGTTTTAAACTTCAGAAAATGAGTGAGCAAAGATATATCTAGTGAGCTATAAACCACAATGTGGAGAACACAACCAGCTTGGGAAGCTCTGAACCAAGGATGGAAGAGTGTCCTCCAGAAAGATGGAAAAGAGCAGCGAGGGTTGGCTGGTGCCAATAATAAGCAATGCAACATTCCAGAAAACAAGGATGATGATGAAATATCTCCTTGGGTCCTGCCTTTTTAGGGTCCATGTGGCAACCCTCTCCCCACCTCTGAAGAATCAGGCCGGTACCTTCTCAGGTGGCCAGGGCCCTGGCATAGGGGATAGAGCCTCACCTTCAGGATAGGAGCCAGGAAGACAGAGATACCCGTCAGGATGAAGACGATGGTGCCAGTCACTCTTTGTTCCCTGGAAGAGAAGGGCACATGGTCATGGTGGACTGGGAGATGCTCCATGACCATGCTAGCCCTTTGGCCCTCTGTGTGCACCTAAAGGTTGTGTCCAAGGCCCTAGCCTCTGTCCTGTTCCCCCACTCCAGGCAATAAACCTGCTGCCTGAGGCCCAGCTGACAGGCACAGGGGAGGAGAGGAGCCCTGACCAAGGGAGTTTGTAGGAGTGTTTGGGAAGTTGTCCATTGTGGTGACTAACAGTGGGGGTGCTTAAGCCAGACTGACTCGGGTGTGTAGTTATGTGGCATAAGGAAAGACCCTAAATGTCTTCAGCCTCAGTAAAAGAAAGACAATGGCAACTGCCTTAGGAGTTGCTGTGACGATGAAATGGGATATACATTGCTTATTATTCCTGCCGTTTGATTGTAATAAGATCCTGCATTTGTGAGTCGTGACTAAGAGGAATCAGAGGAAGGGGGCCTGGCTGCTGGCAGGGCGGGTATGTTTTCCTGAGTGCCCAGGCGGCTCAGAAATCCAGAAAGGGGCCCTGCAGTGACCAGAGAATGCTTACCCCAGGCAGTGTGGGTAGCCCAGGTATCCTGAGGTAGTGAGGTGAAACTCTCTGGACAGCCAGTGTCTGGTGTAGACTCACCCCAGAGCCTCTAAGAGGTAGCAGAGGCACGTGCCTGCCTGTAACAGGTGTGCGATTCACATGAACTTGAGAGGAGGAGGAGTGAGGGAATGGAAGTGATAGGCCATGGGCCGCAGTCTAGGGAGAGGGAGTGGTCCTGAGAAGACTCTGGAAGAATGGAAATTGGGTATGACCTGTACCCACAGGAGCGGTTGGGGGAGAGAGGGGGTCTTGAAGAAGAGGAGATCAAAGGACAGGTTAGAGGGGGCTGTGAAGATGTTGAGTAGCTTATGCAGGTGAGTGGTCAGTGTGCATACGGGCCGCGGTGGGATACTGCTTGCACTCCATTACACAAAACAACACCACTTAGAACTGAATTTTTGTCTCTCTCCTCTCCCTTAGGAATATCACTCCCATCCTTGCAGTTCCTGGGCTGTGAGAGCAGGGCCCTTTTAGCCCAGATACCTCGATGATAAGAAAAACCTGCTTCCCCTCTCCCAACATCAACACCCCTGCTCAGGCAGTCCCCAGTCACTGCTCCCCACCTACCTGACCCCCAGAAACTGGGGCTGTTCTCCAGGGGCGCTGGTCTCTGTCTCCATCTTGAGGCTGTCGATGTGGGCGATGGAGATGACAGTGGCTGCTACATACCAGGGGAGCCCCATGAAGGAGCACAGGGCCATGAGGATGCCCACCCAGAACAGGTCCAGATGGTAGCCAGCAGCCTTCTGCATGGGGCAGGGGGAGGGTGGGTGTGGGGTGAGAGAGAGAGAAGTCTCCCCAAAGTGGCCATTTTTGGAACATGGCTCAATGGCTTCCCTTGGCATTCAACAGGTACTTAGGGTGCTGCTACACTGCAGCGTTTGGGCCTCTCCGGCCCCAGGGTTTGCTGAGCCAGGGAAGGGCACAGGAAGGTGAGGAGAAGGAGAAGGGTGCTCAGACTTGGAGAGGCCCTGGACTTGGGTCCTTGGGAAGAAGATTTCCTACCAGTGGCCACATGATTTCTGTAGTTCTTGAACAAGGGGTCTTGGCTGGGCAGGTCTTGGGATGGGGGAGAGGGTAGCCCAAATCTCCTCAAACCCAGAGGTAGAGAGGGGGGTTGCAGGGACCAGGAGGGTTTAGGATTCTCTTCTGCCTCATGGTTCTAGGTCTAAATCTCTCATTAGGATCTGGTCAGACCCCCAAGTTCCTGTCAGGAGGCACAGAGCTGGAAGGTCACTTTGGGAGAAACAAGGAGCCTATGCCCAGTGGCCCACCCTGGCCTTGGTCCTGATCCTTAGATCAAGTCACCCTGGCTCTGGTGGGCTTACCTGCACCCGGCGGTCACATTTCCCCACACACGCACCAGAGCTCCACAGTCTTCTGACCTCATATCTTGCTTCATAAATGGCCTCAAATTTTGACAGAAGCACCATCTCCCTTCTTTGCTCCTTCTGACTTCGTGGGAAGGAAGAGGGGGTGTTCCTGCTCCTAGCACCCGCCTTACCCTCAGCTTGTTCTCCTTCCGGTTGACTATGACGGCTGTGATCTGCTGGTCCATGAAGATCAGGATGGTCACCAGCAGGGCGGGCAGGATGCTCGCCAGGTACACCCACCACGGGTTCTTCCCGAACGGGGCCACGAACCAACCTCGGTCAGGCCGCGTGGGCTGAGTGGAACAAACGGAAAGGGTGCTTTCCTCGCTTCTTCATCCCAGTACACTTGTCACCTGGGGCCCCACTCTCCCTGCCCTCCCACCACTCTCGACCTGGGATGCTTTTTGAGTGCTATCTTTTCCCTTCAAGATGTTAGGCACCTACAACATTAAAGACACCATGGACGCAGACAGACTTGGGAAGGACACGGTGTCTGCTGAAATAAGATCATTGGTGGCAGCCACCCTGGGATTGGTTGGGAACAGGGAGGTGCAGAGCCAGAGGCTGTCGGGAGAGAGCTTGCAGTCACTAACTGTAAGATAACAAGAAGCGAGAATGAGGCCCAACAGGCAAGAACACAGAATTTGGCGGGCCAAGTGCCTGATGCTTCTGCCTCTCCTCTGAGTCACCTGTCTGGGGAGCATTAGAGGATGCTCTGTAAAACACCAAACATTAATTCAGACTTGCACATTAAGAATGAGGGATTATCGGGGCGCCTGGGTGGCTTAGTCGGTTAAGCGTCCAACTTTCGCTTAGGTCATGATCTCGCGGTTCGTGGGTTTGAGCCCCGCGTCGGGCTCTGTGCTGACTGCCAGCTCAGAGCCTGGAGCCTGTTTCCGTCTGTGACTCCCTCTCTCTCTGGCCCTCCCCTGCTCACGCTGTCTCTCTCTCTCTCTCCTAGAAATAAATAAAAAACATTAAAAAAAAAAAAAGGGATGAGGGATTATCTATGTAGGCTGGGCTGAAATTTCTCTTTTGTTTTATTTAAGAGAAAGAGGACTTTCTCTGTTTAAGCTGCTTTAGAAACCCTGAAATAATACTGTGGAGGTCAAGCCTTCAAAGGCAGGGAGGGTCAGTTCTAGACCCTGTACCTCCAATCCCAGTGCAGATGGATGGTCCTGTTTGTGAGGAAGCAGGGCTGGAGCCCACCTACAACCAAATAGCACCAACTCAGGACTGACTGGGACTTTGTGCAGCAGTGATTCTCAAACTGGCAGGTTCCAGAAAGCCCTGGATGACTTGTTAGAATGCAGAACTCTGGACCCCACCCCCAGACTTTCTGATTCCACAGGTCTGGGGTGGGGCTGAGAATATGCACTTCTGGCAAGTTCCCAGGTGATGATGTGATGTTAGTTTGGGGACCACACTTTGAGAATCAGAATTCTAAGGGATCATTTTCAATAGACCCCAGGTGGCCCTGCTTATAGACTGCGTGAGCCATAGGATTGTAGACCCCCTTAAGTGGAAGTCAGGGGGGCTTCTGCTGGGCTGGTGGGTGGGTTCCAGCACCCTCTCCCCTCAGTGGCTATACAGTAACATTTCACTGTGAATAAGTCCCCAGCCTACCATCTCAAGGGACCACCTCCTTGGAGGCTGTGGGGAGGAAGGGTGGAGCATACACAGAGGGAGCATACACAGAGAACCCACAAGGTCATTTGGCTGAGAGTATATGAAAATTGGATCAGCAGAGAGGGAAAAATAACTGCAGTTGGTGGGCAGGCAGAGCTAACACCCGGAGCAGGGGCCAGGGGCAAACCTTGATGACACTGGGCACATGCAGCTTGGGGGTTGCCAGACCGAAACAGGCGTCAATTCCACAGAACAGCAGGATGGAGAAGATAATGGAAAAGTCTGCTACCAGGGCCCGGACCTGGAGAAAGGAGATGGACAAGTTGAGTGAATCACCCTCCTGCCTCCCGAAGGACTGAGTCCTCCAGCAGCACAAGAAAGGTTAAGAACTTGGGCTCTGAAGTCAGCAGATGTAGGCTCAAATCCTGGCTCTGCCCTGGCCAGCTGTGTGACCTTAGGGAAGCATGTCATCTCTTGGATTCTCAGTTTCCTCATCTGCAAAATGGAGATAATGACAGCACCTATGTCATAGACATAAGTGAGCGCTGACACATTCAGGAGACTTGGCATACATTAGTGAAAGTGGGAATTGTTATATCCACATGGCATGGTAGCCACTGCCAAAGATACTTCCTGGTAGGACAGTCTGAACCCATAAGGGGTGATGAGGGCAAGGCTTAACTCTAAAGGAAACTCTAGCTTCTGAAAATGTGTGACACATTGCTGCACTGCTTCCTGGGCTGGGAGGAAGCTCCTTGGTTCTGCTGGGGACCCCGATCTGCTCTCAGACCTTTTGTCCATGAGAAGTGTTTTGCCTCTTGCTCCTGTCTCAGGATGCCCATCCTAGGCCAGGTTCCTGACCTCACCCCCCTGCCTTCTGACCACTGTCTACACTGCCACCTTGTCTATATCTCTTCAGAGATAGCAGTTCCCAGAAAACAACAGGGAAAGGAGTTAGGAAGGGCAGGGGCAGGTGATGACACATTGAATGCATTCCCTATACCCCCTACTCTTCTTTAAAATTGTTAGTAAAATAACATATATAATTAATTAAAAATCCACAGAGCATAGAAAGTAAAGTCCCCTACACACCTTTCCTCATTCCAGATATATCCATATGTCTGCTTGATTTTAGTTGTTCTGGTGGTTTCCTCCATATCATTATCTAATATGCTATATATTAGGGGTGCCTGGGTGGCTCAGTCTGTTAAGCGTCTGACTTCAACTCAGGTCATGATCTCACTGTTTATGAGTTCAAGCCCTGCATTGGGATCTGTGCTGACAGCTCAGAGCCTGGAGTCTGCTTCAGAGTCTGTCTCCCTCTCTCTCTGCCCTTCCCCCACTCACACTTTGTGTGTGTGTGTGTGTGTGTGTCTCTCTCTCCAAAAATAAAAAATAAAAACATTAAAAAATTTAATAGGCTGTACTTTTATATTTTGATTTACTAATTTAAAGCATCATCTATTGATAAAGATTTAGCCTACTTACACCATCCCTCCTGCCCCTTCCTCATTCCCAATCTTTGCAAGTTATTTTTAAACTCTTTCTATGGGTTTCCTCTGTACTTCCAAGTTATAAAATTAAACCTCGCTTTCTGCTGATTTTGCCAGTTCCTCTCATGTTCCATCGTGTGAGGCTAGCCATCCCTCTTCCCCCATCCTCTTCCATCTGTGACTCCTCCATGACATTGTCAAGGCGGAGAACAATCATATTGTGTTCCATAAACATACGTCTTTTGTGCTTTATCTATGAGTTGATTCTAAAAGTTGAAAATCAGGGCACCTGGGTGGCTCAGTTGGTTAAGTGTCCGACTTTGGCTCAGGTCAAGATCTCATGGTTCATGGGTTCGAGCCCCGCATCAGGCTCTGTGCTGAGTGTTTGCTCAGAGCCTGGACCCTGCTTCCGATTCTGTGTCTCCTCTCCTCCCCTCACACTCTGTCTTACTCTGTCTCTCAAAAATAAAATAAATATAAACAAAATGTTTTTAAAAAGTTGAAAATCAATAGCAGCTTTATGTTACTACAAGCACATAAAATATTGGTCATGGCAGAACGAAGCAGTGTGCACATTTACAACTGTTTTTTTTTTTTTTTTGCAACACTCCCAACATCCAAATCAAAAAGTGATTAAGTTAAACCATATGAACTTTCCATTTTTTTATAAGGCAAAGCAGTCCAATGCAGGCTGTTTCACATGGTCCAATCTAGTATAAAGGTGGATATAATAAATAGTTGTGAACTCTCCCTACTTTAAAAGTGAAAATACACCCATTCAGTAGATGCCTCTCTGTCATCCAGTGGCATCCCTGTCCCTGCTGTCTAGAGAGATCTGCTGGTCTGAATTTGTACTAAATTATTCCCATGAATGTCTTTATATTTTTACTAAATATATTGTATCCCTAGACAAAATATGACATTGTTTAGCACATTTTATTCATTAAAAAAAATTTTTTTAAGTAAGCTCTATGCCCTATGTGGGGCTTGAACTCATGACCACAAGATCAAAAGTCACAGGCTCTACCTACTGAGCCGGCCAGGAGCCCCCAACATGTTTTAAAATTTTACATAAATGGTTTCATATTATTTGTAATCTTCTGCAGCTTGTTTTTTTTTTTTGCTCAACTTTGTGTTGGAGCTATTTTTCCTTGTGGATACATATGGTTTATAGTCTATGTGTATGCATTGCAGCTTTATGTTTATATGACTGTTGCCCATTTCTGTCTTCATTCTCCTGTTAATAGATAAATCTAGATTATTTTCATTGCTTTCCTCTTAAAAATCAATGCTTTATGAACATTTTTGCACACATATGACACTTTCTCTGGGGTGTATTCCTGGGAGTGGAAATGCCCAATGGAAAATCATAGCCATCTTTAGCTCCATCAGAGAGTGCCAATGGCTCTCTGAATTTCTTGCTCCTGATTACACTCCCACCTGCTTTTCATCTCCAACATTTGGTATCCCGAGACCTTCATATTTTTACCAATCTGATAGATATGCAATGGTATAATCTCATTCTTCTCTGCAGTACTAAATCCCAGGAGGCAACAGAGTAATTTGTAAGAAATTTGAGGGAGAAAAGATTTGGGTGAAAGAATTTCCTATTATATGAATTATATTCCATTCTTCAGGAAATAGACATTCTCAGATGCAATCATGGCTCTAGAACTTTTACGTAAGAGGTGACTTGGATACGATCTAGTTGAAAGTGGGGAGGAAGGGAGGGAATTTGCCTTGAAAATGCATTTGGGTTGTAAGCACTCTATTCTTCACTCAGCTTGTACATTGCAAAGCTTCCTAAAGAGTCTTTCCTTTAGTTCTTATGAAATATTGAGAAAAATTCAATCATTCATATCAATATCATCATCATCATCAGAGTAGCAGTAGCAGTAATATTTACTTAAGAAGGCTTTAGAAGAGTGCTCATGGGATTTATGGTGGAAGAGTGTTGCTAAAATTCTTCTGAGTGCCCTTCCCCATGGCACAGCTATTGCTCACATATACAAGTGCTGTTTTGATTAATTAATGTCTTATTCTGGCCACAGAAAAGAAAATGCAGTTAAAACTAGTACTTAGCATTTCTTTTAAAAAATTTTTTTAAATGTTTTATTTATTTCTGAGAGAGACAGAGAGACAGCGTGAGCAGGGGAGAGTCAGAGAGAGAGGGGGAGACACAGAATTTGAAACAGTCTCCAGGTTCTGAGCTAGCTGTCAGTACAGAGCCCGACACGGGGCTCAAACCCACGAACCGTGAGATCATGACCTGAGCCGAAGTCGAAGTCGGATGCTTAACCAACTGAGCCACTCAGGTGCTCCAGTACTTAGCATTTCAACAGCATAAAAAAAAATCAAGTAATTAGGAATAAATCTAATAAAAAATGTGCAAGAGCTTGGGACACCTAGGTGGCTCAGTCAGTTAAGTGTCCACCTCTTGGTTTTGGTTCAGATCATGATCACATAGTTCATGAGTTTGAGCCCTGAGTTGGTCTCCTCAGGGATAGCTTGGGATTCTCTCTGCCCCTCCCCCACTTACACTCTCACTCTCAAAATAAATAAATAAAGTTTTAAAAAGTGTGCAAGTGCGGGGCGCCTGGGTGGCTTAGTCGGTTAAGCGTTCGACTTTCGCTTGGGTCATGATCTCGCGGTTCGTGGGTTCAAGCCCCGCGTCGGGCTCTGTGCTGACTGCCAGTTCAGGGCCTGGAGCCTGTTTCAGTCTGTGACTCCCTCTCTCTCTGACCCTCCCCTGCTCATGCTGTCTCTCTCTCTCTCTCCTAAAAATAAATAAAACATTTAAAAAAAAAAAAAGTGTGCAAGTGCTTCAGGCCAAAACCTAAAAAAGTTATGGAGAGGAAAAAAGGCCTAAATAAATGATGAAGTATATAATATTCATGGATCAGAAGCATCAAAATTTAAAAGGTGTCAATCCTCCCTGAATTGACATTTGTTTTTTGGTTTTTTTTTAATATTTATTTAGTTTGGGAGAGAGTGTGTACATGTGGGAGAGAGAGAATCCCAAGCAGGCTCTCTACCAGCACAGAGCCAGACATGGGGCTCAATCCCACAAACCCTGAGATCATGACCTGAGCCAAAATCAAGAGTTGGAAGCAGTTTAACTGACTGAACCACCCAGGCACCTCTGACATGTAGAGTCAATATAATCCTATCAAATTCCAACAACTTTTTATTTTAGTAAAATTTAAGATGATTTTTGGGAAAGAAGGACAAAAAGGGAAAATTTGGTCTGTAAAGGCATATAGGCTTAGTATAAGTCACACAAATGAAGACTGTGATACTGGCCTACAAGTAAACCAGTGAAACAGAATAAAGAACCCAGAAACAGACCCCATTATATGTGAACATTTGACATATGGCAAAGGAGGTACTGCAGAGCAGTAAGAAAGGATGGTCATTAAAAAAAAAAAAAAGTGCCTTGTATGTGTATAGGTGTGTGTGTGTGTGTGTGTGTGTGTATAGAAATACTATCTCACACTATATGTTAAAAGTAATTTTGATATGGGGCACCTGGGTGGCTCAGTCGGTTAAGTCCCTGACTTTGCTAAGGTCATGATCTCACAGTTTGTGGGTTTGAGCCTCGTGTCAGGCTCTGTGCTGATGGCTCGGAGCCTGTAGCCTGCTTCAGATTCTGTGTCTCCCTCCCTCTGCCCCTCATCCACTCATGCTCTGTCTCTGTCTCTCTCAAAAATAAATAAACATTTTTAAATTTAAAAACAGTAACTCTGATATATTGTGCATATAATGTGAAAGGAAAAACAATAAAGCTTTTAGAAGATAACAGGAGAATATCTTCTGTCCAATATTCTCCTTGAGGATAATTTTGATATATTTGATTATAATAAAACTAAGAATTTCTATTAATCAAAAGATACCACTAAGAAAGTAGAAGTCCAGTCACATAGAAGATGTCTGCAACACACATGATCACAAAAAGGTTTCTATCCTGACCATATAAAGAACTCTAGCAAATCAGAAAGAAAATGACAGACCACCCAATAGAAAACATTCAAGAGATTTAAATAGGAACTTCAAAGAAGAAAGTCAAATGGCTATATGGCCAATAAGCACACAAGATTTTCAACTTCATTAGTCATTGGGGAAATGAAAATTTTAAAAACACAATGAGATACTACTATACAGAAAGACTAAAGAAAGAAGTCTAACAATACCAAGTCCTGCCAAGTGGACATGACAACGAGAACTCAGTTCTGACTCTGAATGTGTGCTGTAACCTGAAAAACCCTGGTAAGCTAGTGTTGATGTGATGTCCGTCTGGTCAGTGGGCCAGAACCCTCACAGGGAGACTCAGTGGGGCTTCCTTGTGAATTGCCTAAGGGTAGGTCCCCTCCTAACTGCAAGGTAAGCTTACCTTGGTAGGGAAATAGCGGCTGAATTTGAACTTCTTCAGGGTCAGGGTCATGGAGTACGTCCCAAAGAAAAGGATGAAGGACATGAGTGCCAGGTCTGGGATGAACTGGCAGGAATTCCCAAGCAGCTGTCCACCATAGTTCAGACACTCCTTCTTGCTCAGCAGGGACCAGTCCAGCGCTGTGAGGTTAAGGGGGTTGTACTTGGAGACCAAGCACAGGAGAGAAAGGGTCAGGGTCTTCCTGGGGGGTGAGCTGTATCCTCCCCTTTGCAGTACCCAGGCAGCCCACACACCCCTCTCATGCATCTATCCCTCCCATCCCCACTGGTCTCTCTTCTAGCTCAGCTCTCGTGCTTTCCCTGTGGGATGCCACACCCGCATGCTGTTTGAGCCAGGCTGGTCCACTCTGTCCTCAGAACAGGTTTTGTGTTTTCCTTGTTTGTCCTTCTGCCTGTGTTGGTCCCTGGACCTGGAATGTGCTTCTCTCTATAAAACCACCTTTCCCAGCCTTCAAGACCAGATCACAGTCCACTTTCTCTCTGAGGCTTTCCTCTCCAGCTTGCAGGGTGCCTCCTGTCTCCATGGCTGGAAGGGCACATCTGGCCTATATTTGACATATGGCGTGCTCTGCTTTTGCTGTTTTATTGCCCTTCCTGTTTGTCTCCACATGCATATTACAAGCAAGTTTGAGGGCAGGAGCCATGTCTACGTCCGTTTAGCCCTCAGAGAGCACACAGCTCCTTGCACATAGTAAGTATCCAAGCATAGGCACTGGCTGATTCCAGTCTTCCTCCCTCAAAACCAGAATTTGAAAAATCTTAGGTTACGTTGCCAACTGAGCAGTCAGCTGCCTATGCAGGGGTAACTAAAGGGCCTCAGGGATCCAAAAAGTCCAAAGATGTCCTCCAAAGCCCACCAGGTGCTGCCCTTCTGGTTTTGGACTTCCCACCATTGCATTGGAGCCACGTAGGCTGAACGGCTCTCCTGAGGGCTGCTGCTCTTCATTATTGGGAAAGGCAGACCGGGACTCATGAGCACACAGAACAGATCAGATTCAGCGAGGGGGAGCATTGATGACCTTTCTGGGGCTGGGGAGTGGCACTGTTGGCTGGGAGTTGGAGGTGCTAGGTAGAAAGGCAAGGAAGAAGACAGAAAGATGGCTGGGAAACTGTGACTATACCATTTTTGCGGACTTGTTTACCATTCCTCACCCCTACCTCCCCTTCATGTGTGTGTGCATGTGCTTGTGTGATATTTCTGCACATAGATTTAGTAGAATGAGACATGTTTTAAAGGGGGGTTTTGACAGTATGTACTTAAGATAAAAATGTACGTTTCCACAGCTCCACAGGTGATCCTGATGCACAGCTGGGGCCGACCCCCCGTAAGTCCGGGTTGCCATAAAATGGTCTCTGTTTCCCTAACTTCTGTCTTTTTCCCCCACAAACAAAAGCCCTCAAATATCTAAATAAGGGGAGAAGACTTACCAGAGAGGTGTTGGTGTTTGGTGCCAGCAGGGCTGAAGCATTGAACACGGTTGTATTCACTGTGGATGAGCACAGGACATAGGGATGCGTCAGCAGCTGCTGGGCTGAGAGGCTGTAGCCCCCACTTGGCTCCCACCTTTCCCATCTCCTGCCATTTCCTAGAGCCCGGGAGTGGCTTCCTTTGTGGGGGCAGCTCATCACGCCTGGCCCCTCTCTACTCTCCTTACTTTGCCCAGTGAGGACAGGGGTGGTGGAGGAGTCTGGGTCACAGCTCTGACAGCCCCACTAGGCCAGGCTAGGACAACTCCTGTCTGACCCTGAAGGGCCGGCTTTAAAAATCAAAGCAAGAAAGGGGCTCCTGAGTGGCTCAGTCGGTTGAGCGTCCGACTTCAACTCAGGTCATGATCTCATGGTTTATGAGTTCAAGCCCTGTGTCTGTGCTGACAGCTCAGAGCCTGAAGCCTGCTTCAGATTCTGTGTTTGTCTCTCTCTCTCTGCCCCTCCCCTGCTCATGCTCTCTCTCCTTCAAAAAGAAATAACCATTAAAATAATAATAATAATAATAATAAAGCAAGGAATCTGCTGCCAAGACAAAGTGCTGACACAGCTGGTGAATAATGTGCCTGTGAATCCCTACCAGCAACTGGCTCCATGTCTGTGCTTTTAGACATTTTCAAAGGACTTACTCTATGCCATGCACTATGCCAAACCTTACACACATCGTCTTGCTAAATTCCTAAATACCCAAGTGGTCTCCCCGCTTTTAAAAGATGAGGTAACTGAAGCCCAGGGAGATTAAGTAACCTGCCCATTGCCCAAGGTCAGACAGCTTGTACTTGGGTCATGATCCATCCCAGGAAGGCTGGACAGAGCCTGTACACCTCCAAGCCCTACACAGCAGATGTCCTTGACTACAGTGCCCCCTCTCCAACCTCCTCACCACCCCCACCACCCCACTCCATTCATGCTTCCCTTCTCTTCTCTTCCTGTCCAAATGTGTTTTTAGGTCAACTGTAAGAAACACATTGGTTTTGGGGCGCCTGGGTGGCTTAGTCAGTTAAGCGTCCGACTTTCGCTTAGGTCATGATCTTGCGGTTCGTGGGTTCGAGCCCCGCGTCGGGCTCTGTGCTGACTGCGAGCTCAGAGCCTGGAGCCTGTTTCAGTCTGTGACTCCCTCTCTCTCTGACCCTCCCCTGCTCACGCTGTCTGTCTCTCTCTCTCTCTCCTAGAAATAAATAAAAATATTAAAAAAAAAAAAAAAGAAACACATTGGTTTTGATATTACATTTTCTAATCTGTCCCTTGAATGTAAGTTGCAGAAAATTAAATCCAAGTCCAGGAGCTGAAGGAGAATTGGAACCCAGAGGTGCTGCTCTTAGCTATTTACCACATCCCTTGTTTGGGTACTTCCTTTCCCCAGCCTCGGTGTCCCTAACTGTAAGTGGAGCATATAAGGGTTCCCATTACAGGCCACAAGAAGAATTGAGAAGAACTGTAATTTCCTTCCTGTGGGATGTAGCCATTCATTAAGAAGGCAGGCCTTGGAGGCTGCTGTTTGCCTTCTCTCTTGCTCCTGCTCAGCATGGATAGAGAAGGGCTAGGTCCTTCTTGCCTATCTTCTCCAGGTAAAAGGTGATTAAGTAGTTGCTATGCAGCAGATTTGTGGAGGGAGGGAGGGAGGCCCTGCTAGCCAGTTTGCTGGCAATAAATCTGAATTGCACTACAAGTCCCCTTGGCTTCTGCTGGCTGTCCATGGTTGATTAGGAGCCCAGAGTGAAGTAGAGACTATTCTTGAAACTTCCTTCAACCTCCAACAGGCTGTCGTGGGATGGCTGTGATCACAGGGCCCATCTGTATAGCCCACTTCTAGGGTAGTTGGGGCTGAGAGTGGCCAAGGAATTCAGTCTTGGCCCAGGGCAGAATATTCCTAAAAGTTCTCTAAATGAGAGGTTTGTTATGATTATTCTGAGGAAAGCTTCACTTACAGAAATCAGGACATCTGCTGCCTTACCTCACACTACTGACCAAGAGAACATGATGCACAGTTAACAACAGAGCATAGAGGGTGGGCAAGAAAGCTAACTTAGGGCCACCCACACAAATGCTTGAGGATTCCCAGCTAATGCTGGAGCCTGGAGAGTTCAGGCACCTTTCCATTGCCCAAGTTTGTCAGACCAGATATTTCTTTGATGTCTTCAGCTTAGTCTTAGCCATTCTTTCACACTGGGTAGGGTTTATCTGAAAGTCACTTTGAGATGAAGAAGGATGAAATATAACATGGAAAATTCCAGAAAGTGTCCAACTATCAAATATTTTTAAATTCTAGTGTCTACAAAGTAGTACTCACTTGGGATCGAAAGCAGCCAAATCAGTGTGTGCAGCATCCATAAATAGAATACAAATCAGTTACAATGGAAACAAGATTAAATTTAAAAAGAGAGCACCCCCTACAACAAGCTCTTAGGATAAAGAGAGATGGACACTGGTAGGGTGCCATAGCCAGGCTGGGCTTTCCAGTAAAGCTAGGAATAGGGAACACTTTGTAAGCAACTGGCCCATGGACGGGGACAGAAATTTTCCTCAGTTAGTTTCCCCCACCCCATCTCCTAATGTCTAGGACGTTCCTTTTCAGATTATAATCAAAACTAACTTGTCTTGATTCCAGTTCCTTTACTTTTGGTGAATAAACTGCAAATCTAATCTTACTAGAGTTAGTGACTAATAATGGCCCCGTATCACTAATTAATAGTTCAACAGAGCAATGGTTCTCAAACTTAAGCATGCATCAGAATCACCTAGAAGACTTGTTAATACACAGCTGGCCTTACCCCAGAGTTTCTGATTTAGGGGCTGTGGGGTAAGGCCCAAGAATTTGTATTTCTAACAAGTTCCTGGAAGGTGCTGCTTCTGGGGACCACGCTTTGAGAACCATGGCAATACAGTGACTCAAAAGAATGAGGCAACGTCAGGTACCTCGGCAAGGCAGAGGGGATACTCTTTGGAGGGAAGTAGATTTTATGATGGCCTCAAATCCAACATTATATGATCCTACATCCCCTGTTCTTAGGGCATGTCTGTGTTTGGTTTCTCCTGCAGACAAGAGGATTCTCTGAATGGCTAAAGGGCCACATATGACCCCAGAATTTGGACTGTTTCTAAAAGAGATCAAGGCCATGTACTTCCAAAAGACATGTTTGTGGGAACATTTGTGTTCAGTCAGTGCAATAAAGCCACAGTCCAGTGGGCACAAGCAGCAAATGGGAGTGACCTGATGGGGCCTTGGCCACCGAGGCAAGATTCACTCTAGGACAGAATGAGAAGGGCCTGTAGTTAGGATCTCCTTGATCCCACAGGCAAGCAACATACTCTGGCTCAGGACAAAGGATAGTTTCACCTCCTGATGGATTTTCATGAAATAACTCAAAATTAATGATAGAAAAAAATGAAGTCTAGACTGCTTTACAAAACCAGTGCAGTGACAGAGGGAGAGAAGGTATAATCAAAATTGTACTCCTTGATGTCAGGACATCTTCATCTCCATGAGGCCTAGCCTAAAACAGGGTACACAATGATTGTACAATATTTTTGATTGACTTATGATCATTTTTTTTATCAATAACATGTGTTACAGTGCTGAACACACAAAATCCACTTATGTCAAACTCCAATCCAATCTGGGTATAGATTTGAAAGCCTCACAAGAGTTCTATGAGACTGACAGGGAAATCCTTCTATTAATATCCTTCTATTACAGCCAGGGAAACTGAGGTTCAGTGTGAACTTGAGTGGTCTCTGGAGCTTAGTTTGTTCTCTGTGAGTCCAGCTTGGTGATGCTCAGAGATATATGGATAGCTCTTTTTCTCTAGATAGATATAGATATAGATATAGATATAGATAGATATAGATTTAGATAGATATAGATGATATAGATAGAGATAGAGATAGAGATAGAGATAGAGATAGATATATAGATATAGATATAGATATAGATATAGATATAGATATAGATATAGATATATAGATATATAGATATATAGATATATAGATATATAGATATAGATCTAAGTATAGATCCATGGGTGTCCCTGCTCTGTAGCATTCTGGGCACAAGGCACATCCCACTGAAGCCTCTTAGGGGCATGATAATGACTGTGAAGGAAGCCGGTGGTTCAGCCTATAGGAAGTCCTAACTTTACAGATGACACTTTTTTGGTCAGCAAGGAACTCCATGGGAATGGCACTGAGTATTATCAGGTTGCCAGTTGGTTGATTCAACCTCACACCCAGTGAAGGTAGATGGACATCCAGATTGTGTCCAGGTAGCTTGCTACCACCCAAGGGAGCGATACTTCTCAGGGCAATATCTCCTACATTTGAGTAGAAAGCTGTGGTGGGGGGAGAGTGAATAGGTGGGGGTGCAGGGCATGTCTGGGGTTACCGGTCACCTGTGTCGGGGGCAACACATTCGCATTTGTAGGTGGTGATGGAGTCAGGCTTAAAGTCCATGTTGATGGGGTAGTACTTGAAGGCACCAATCATCTTCTTGATGGCATCATAGATGAAGATGAAGCTGATGAGGGTGGAGAAGCCCTCTTCGGTGAAGCGGGTGATATACTTGATGATAAAGCTGGCATCTGTGGCCACCAGGATAAGGCACTGGATGGCTGAGTGTAGGCCAATCCAGAGGCGGAACTCCATGTAGTCCAGGCCATTGCCTCTGGAAGACAGAGGGATGGGAGGGACCTCCAGCCTAGGGCTCTCGGCTGTGCTTGGCCCCCCAGACCCACCTTGAGTGACTCATCTGTCCCTCCTGAGGCACTCCTAGGAGCTGTGAGAACATAGGGACAGGGACAATTCCTGGGTGGGGTTGTCTCCTCTTTGAAAATTCTGGGGAAGAATTTCACAGGGGTGGCAGGAAGGGGCTAAGACATCTCAGGTCTCACAACTTTGGCAACAAACACCCAGGGTGAACGAAAAATGGAATATCAGAGTGACAGAGCTTAGGGAGACCTTAAAATGGACTCAGGTTTTAGATGAGGCAGCTGAGGCCAGGGTGATGACAGGAGCTGCCTGGGTCAGGATGTAGCCTTCGGACCTCCAGCCCAAGGCTGCACTGACTTTCTGTCATAGTTGCTTCAAGCACAGTGGTGTGAATTATTTCCTCTTGTCTTGCCTCCATGTCTCCCTATCAGCTATGCTAAAAAGCACTAAGATGGCTTAAAAGCAGGTAGCTGGAGGGAGTCAGGAGGGACCTCCTGGCCGTCCTTTCAGTAGGTTAAGATAGCTTTGGTACTTTCTCACCTCACCCTGCTTCTCTTTTGGGCCAATTCCCATTCCTGGCTTTGGTGTACTACCTTAAGTGCAAGAGCAGGTACGAGAGGCTACCAAGGGCACCTACTTGCTGAAGTCGAAGAGGAGTTTCTCAAAGATGAGGATGGGCCCTGTGCTGCTGAGGATGATGAGGGGCTGTCCCGAGAAGAGGCAGAACAAGGAGCCGGCCATGGCAGTGCCCAGGAAGCTCTCCATCACTCCCTGGGGGCATGAGGAGTATGAGTCTCAGTGGGGGCTGGAGAAGGGGCCTCTTAGTATAGGCTAGAACCCAACCAAGGGCCCAGGCCACAGTGCTCATCGTATTCTGGGTCCTCTCCTCCCAAAATTCTGCTTTCTATCTCCTATTCCACAACCCCCCCATTGCCACTGTTAGTCTTGATTTCCACTTGGATAAAAGCCCCATATGACTTCCTTTTGGCACCATACAGCTTAGCAAACAGGGCTGCCAATGGATGTGGATTTGATTGCCCTCATGCCCACTCCACTCCCAGAGGACAGCTCATTCGCCCATCCAGTCATTTATTCATTCAAACATCTGTTAGGTGCTTTCTGAGGTCAGACTACTCATTCATTTTTGAGTGCCTACTCTGTACCAGCCATTTTGTTAGGTATTGAGGCCCATCAGTGAACAAGATAATGCATCATCAGTCTAATGAGAAATACAAACAAGCAACCAGGCAATTTCCATACAGCAGTTTCTCAACCTTAGTATTACTGACATTTTGGGCTAAATAATCCTTTGCCTTGGGGGATGTCCTGTGCATTTTAAGATGTTTAGCAGCATGCCTGGCTTCTACCCACTAGATGCCAGTAGCACCAGCTTCTCCCAGTTATAAAAACCAAAACTGTCTCTAGATATTGTTCAATGTCTCTTGGGGGTCAAAATCATTCCTTGTCACTGCCAAGGAGTGTCATAAGCTGGGATAGGTTCAAGGTGTCAAAGGAACACACAGTAGGAGTAAGGGATTGTTAGAAAGGTTTCCTAAGAGGTATACACGCAGAAGCTGAGATCCAAAAAAATGAGCAAGGAATTGACCAGAATAGGGTAAGCAGAGTGACAAAAACAAAAAAGACTGTCCCAGAAAAAGGGACTTTTATTTACAAAGGCTGGAGCTGAAAGGGAGGATGCCTTTGAAGAACTGAAAGATGATCAAGATTGATGGAAAGCAAAATGGGTAAGGATAACAGGAATCTGAGAAAGGATTCCTGGGAGAAGTCTTGAGAAGCAAGTAGGGCCATGTCATGAAGGCCATGTGGGGAAGCTGGGGCTTATGAGTCATGGAGATGTGTGGATAGCTGGGTGAACCATGGTGTTACTTGCTATATTGGGGGTGGCATCTGGTCTAGAGGGAAGGCAGTTGATGCAATGTTGGCCTTGTGGATTCGGGGATCCCCAGGGACAGCCATGTGGACATGCCTAGGAGATAGTTGGATACTGGGCCTGCAGCTCAGGAGAGTGGTGTGGTCTGAAGATAAGCATTCATCTCAATTTATCTGGGAAAATAGGTCTTCTATCTTGATGTCTGAGCTTTCCAATGGTTCTACCCTGAAGGTCCCATGGGAGACCCTTTCCTGGGATATGGGCTGGATCTCTGCTGACTAAAGTTTTCCCCAGGGAGACCTCTGCTGTTGTTAGGGTAACAGCTTGCCATCTTTCTAAACACGTCTTAATCCCAACTAAGAATCCGAGGTAAGAGTTTTTAAAAATGTGCAGAAAAGTTCATAATTAATAACTTAATTGTGCTGATTGTTCATTCACACATCAGTCAGGAAACTATCAAATAACAAAGCAGATGATTCCCCTTAAAAGTCTGAGCATTGCATAATGTCTAGAATTGCTGAATCACTATGTTGTATACCTGAAAACTAATATAACATTGCAAGTCACTTATATATACTTCAATAATAAAAATTAACAAAATAGACTAGAGGGCAATTAACACTACTTAATAAACATAACAAACTAAACTTTAAAAAGTTTGATCTCTTAGGGGCGTCTGGGTGGCTTAGTCGGTTAAGCGTCCGACTTTCGCTTAGGTCATGATCTCGCGGTTCGTGGGTTCGAGCCCCGCATCGGGCACTGTGGTGACTACCAGCTCGGAGCCTGGAGCCTGTTTCAGTCTGTGACTCCCTCTCTCTCTGACCCTCCCCTGCTCACGCTGTCTCTCTCTCTCTCTTTCCTAGAAATAAATAAAACATACAAAAAAAAATTTAAAAAAAAGTTTGATCTCTTTATGTCATCCTTACATTTAGACTTTAGTAATATGAATTAGATTTAGGTATTTTAATAATGTTGCTTTGTTATTATTTTTTTGAAGGGCAAAAGATTACAAAAAGTGATGGATTAAACCCCATGGTGGATGAAACCCAAGTCTTGGTTTTGGGATAATAGGATGAAGCTCCTTACCGCCACCTGGTGGCAGCATATTTTTTGGAGGTTTGCACTCCCGTCCCAGCTCACACACACCTGATAATTGTCAGTGGCATCCCCCAGAAGTCCACCAAAGGTGATTGCGTTGGTGATGCAGCCGAGGTAGATGAATAGGATGGCAGAGATGGACTGAATGTGGAAGCCATCGTAGAAATCACTTGGGAACCAGGGCAGCTTCCTCTTGATATCCAGACGCAGGCCACCGAAGAACCTGCTCAAGACAGGCCCGGGGGCTGCTTTCTCACCACAAACACCAGTGCAGGGTCTGGGCTACTTACAGGAGCCTGCAAAATCTGGGGCGAGGAAGGGAACTTGACTAGAGGTGGATGGGGACAGGGATCTTTCCACCATAACATTTAAAGGCAGGAGAGGATTTTCACAAGACTCAAAGTGTGTGGCCAGCACCATCTCTACTAGAAAGGTGGTCATGGACAGCAGGGATGGGAGAGGGAAAGCCTGGTGGAAACACGTCCTGGAGTAGATCTAACATTCCATGGGGAATGGAAATCCTGGGATCTACAGAAATCCTGGCCATCCTCCTTAGTGATGTCCCTGATCATCTGCAGGGCACTTCCCTGTGTTTGGTAAACAGAGATGTATCCAATTTTAGGAGAGTTAGAATCCCAGATTTATCAAGGGTAGGTTCTGAATCTTAAAACTGGTTTCTTTATTCTCTAGAACAACTGAGTGGGGAATTTTAGGCTTAGAGACAGTGTTTATTGGGTAGACTATTCCCCACGGCCTCTAATGCAAGGCTTGACATAGAGCAGGGTTTCTTAGCCTTGGTAATACTGACATGTAGGACTGGACAATCCTTTGTTGTGGGGTTTTCCTATGCATTGTAGCATGCTGACCAGCATCCCTGGCTTGTATTCCCCAGATGCCAGCAGCATCACCCCTCTAACTGTGACAAAAATACCTCTGGACATTGCCAAATATCCTCTGGGGGAATATGGGGGTACAGGCAAAGTTACTTCTAATTTGGAGCCACTGGCTGGCATAGAGCCAAAGGCATATAAAACAGGACTCCATTCTCAAAGTCATAATTTACACATAGTTTTGTAGGGCCATGTCCTTTCCTGAATTATTCCAAGAACCAGCAAGGAAACCCAAGCCAGGAAATCCCCCCTCCCTTCTCTTTTTAAATTAAGAAAAAAGAGGAAAAAATTCAGATGGTACTGTTATGGATTAAATTGTGTCACTCTCAAAAGACACATTAAAATCCTAACCTCTGTACCTATGAATGTGGCCTTATTTGGAAATAGGGTCTTTGCAGATGTAATCAAGTTAATATGAGGTCACTGCGGGGGCCCTAATCCACTATGGCTGGTGTGCTCATATCAAGAGGAAAGTACCATAGGAAGAAACCAAGTGAGGACACAGGCTGAGATGGAGCAACGTGGCTGCAAGCCAAAGACACCAAGGGTTGGTGGCCACCAGCAGAAGCTGAGGAGGGGGAAGGGAGGATCCCACCTAGAGTGTGGGAGCTGGCCCAGATTTGGAACTTTTACCCTCCAGAACTGTGAGAGAAAATTTCTATTGTATAAGCCCCCTAGAATGTGCCACTTCGTTATGACAACCCTAAAAAACTCATACAGGAACACAGAATGTCTTTTGAAGGGTTTGAAATGTCAATGAGGGTTTGAAGGGCGTGGAGAGCGAGAGTGCAGAGGCCGGAAGTGGGCGCTGCAGGCAAAGGTGGGGAAGGTTCCCGCAGGTGGGTGAGGGGAGAAGCCTAAAGGACGGCTGGCGTCACCGTCAAGCCTGGGGTGGGCACCTTCCCGTCCAGATAAGCTCTTCCCCGATTTCGTGCATGGCTGGCATCTCCCCGTCTTCCCCGCTGCTCCCTCCGCTGGCGCCGCCGCCGCCGCCACTGCCTCCCGAGCCGCATCCAGCAGCCGCTCCACCGCCGCCTCCACCCACAGAGCCGTTCATCTGGCCCAGCTCGGTCAGGGAGAACACGGATTTCCTGTACGGAGCAAAGAGCAGGGGACCGTGGGGCTCCCAATCCTGGGACACACTTAGCCGCTCTAGAACTGTCTGGAGAACACCTCTGACCTCTCCCACAAAAATTATGAAATACCTTAAAAATGCAGAGACAAATGCAGAAAATGATCTCCCAATACCCATGCACAGGTCATACACATTTATACACATTTTATAGATGTTCACGTGCAGCATATTGCTTGCTTTTTTTTTTTAGATAAATAAAATGACACCAGAAAAAGAAATAGTGTAAACCTACGTATGCTGACCAGAAAAGCCACAGACAGACTCCCTTTGTACCACTGCCCTCCTCCTCCACCCCTCCATCCACATACATACCTCTTATCAGCAGAGGGCACTTTCTTGGGGGGCTCAATTCGGATATTTGGGTCCCATTCTCCAGGGGGAAGGACAATGACCTCATCCAGAAACTCATCAATCCCTGCTATCAGATCTTCCCGATTCCGGGCTTTATAGGCCACATCACTGAAGAGCTGGAGAGGAAAGAGTAAGGGGACAACTCACTATCTGCTTCTTATCCACCTTCTGGGAGCGCATCACATACAGTTTTGGAGACGATCCCTTTGAACCATTGCTCTTGTCAGCTCACTCTCTGTCCTTGAGATAAGTACAGAGGCCCGCAGGTGAAATTAGGCACAGTGGGGAACAGCAGGGCCTTGGGCAAAGACCTAAAGGCCAGCTCTTCATGTCCTAGCTGTAGGACTTTGGTTGAGTCACTTAACCTTTCTGCTATTAGTTTTGCACAGAGCAAGCTCATTAGAAAACCCATGGAGAGCCCAGTCCAAGAAGCTCACATACTTTAAACCTGATTATAACTTCCTAGCCCCTCAGCCTCGGAGGGTCAGGCTGCATCATTCCAGGTTGTTTCCAGGGTGTTCTTTCTGACTTACAGATCATGCCTGTGTTTTAAAGCTCTCTAGGCTCTAAATGTCCATCGACTAATGAATGGATAAAGAGGATGTGGTTTATATATACAATAGAATACTACTTGGCAATGAGAAAGAATGAAATCATGCCATTTGTAGCAACGTGGATGGAACTGGAAGGTATTATGCTGAGTGAAGTAAGTCAGTCAGAGAAGGACAGATATGTTTTCACTTATACGTAGATCTTGAGAAACTTAACAGAAGACCACAGGGGAAGGGAGGGGGAAAAATAGATACAAACAGAGAGGGAGGGAGGCAAACCACAAGAGACTCTTAAATACAGAGAAAAAACTGAGGGTGGATGGGGATGAGAGGGTGGGGGAGAGGGGGAAATGGGTGATGGGCATTGAGGAGGGCACTTGTTGGGATGAGCACTGGGTGTTGTTATGTAAGCCAATTTGACAATAAATTATATTTAAAAATAAAAATAAAAATAAATAAAAGGAGGCAGTATGAGATGATTATGGAAAAATAAAAAAAATAAAGTTCTCTAGGCTCCCCACCACCCACCAGGGACAGAGAGAACTCCAAGTGTGCCTACAGGCTCTGTGTGGTCTCTAGCTCACCTCTTGCTCTTGAAGCTCTTACACTGAGCCTAAGTCAAACCACTTTTATCCAGCTTCTGCATCTCCAAGCTTTGGCTCTTGTTCTCTTTTTCTGGAATGCCTGCGTCTTAGGCTTATGCAAGGTCTACCTAACTCCTGATCATCCTTTGCTTAAAGCCCCCTCCTATGTGAAGCCTCACCTGGCTGCCTGGACAATTAGCACATGGTTCACTTTAGAATTACAGGTGTGTCCATCCCACTTGATTGGTGCTCCTAAACGGCAGTGACTGTTCCCTAATTCTCATAACCCTCAGAGCCCTGCACAAGCCTGACACACAGTAGGTGCTCAGATGCGCCTGTTGGATAAATGAGTGAATAAAGGCATAGTGCTTGATGCAGGAGGCACGACATGCAGGAGTACATGCTTCTCATTCCCACTTACATCGTCTACCATGAGGGTTGCAATGGCACGGCCAATTTCATTGTAGGATTTTGATCTCCCAGAAGGTCCGAGCAATATGAACAGAAATCTGCAAAAAAAGATAAAGGAGGAGGAGGAGGAAAGTGAGAAGGAAAACAGAAGCAGGTAAAGAGGATTCTCTGGCCCTGGACATGATTCGTTCTTCATTCCTGAATTGACCATACTCTTGTGCCTTCCCTCCTTTGAATCCCATGCTTGCTCTGCAGAGCCATCTATCTCTTCACTCCCTCCAGCTCCCACTTGAACATCTTCACCATTGTGTTGTTGTCCAAGCCCAACCAATGGTGTGTGTCTCAGCTGTTGGCTTCTTCTTTTTTTGTGATTATTTAAAACAACCTCAAAAATTCTCCCCTAGTCAGAAGACTTCCTTCCTCAGCAATTCTCTAATTTTCCTTCTGCATTTTAGGGGTGTCTCTGACAGCACTTTGTGCCAACTGCCTGGACAGCTGGCTTCCTTCAGGTGGATGTGGAAGCTGATTTCAGTGGCCCTCACCTGGTGGGGACAGGCACCTCGGTCACTCCTCCCAGCATGGCTGACTGGATGAGACGCACAAAGGCGATGAACGGCTGGTCCAGGAAGTCTACCTCACCCACAAGCACATTGGAGGCTTCTGAGTCCTTGGGGATCTTCTTCATGAATTTGTTTTTCCGCTGGTCAGGGAGGGGGAAACGAGATATTCATGGATACTCACATCAGCGGTTTTGGCTCTCAATCCCTTGCTCCCCTTCAGATTGCTGTGAAGGTCTAACTTTAAAAAATTCTCCAAGCACTTCTCAAATAACCAAACACTGATATAACCAAACACTTTCCCTAGTCTGCAAATGAGGAGACTAAAAATTGGTTAACCCCAGGACCAAGTAAGCCTTAGTAGATGGGAAGAAACAGGGGGCAATGATCTGACCCCTAAGATATTCCTTGATGGATGAAAACTTTGCTCAACTGAAGTATGAGCCAAGGGACCAAAGAAGAGAGCCAAGGCTTGCTGGCCATCAGGCCTCATCTCCCAGCCCCCTGCAGCTCAAGCAGATGGGAATCTTGGCTCTTCCACCCCAGGTGCCTAGCCCTCCCTCTCTGCCTTCACCTTGGGTGGCTGTGGAAAGGATGAAGCCCATTCTGATGACCAGGGCAGACATGCTTTGTTTTCCCTTTGCCATCAACTTCCTGGTTGACAGGAGACCCTGGATCCCACCTCCAAATCTCTGGGAGACTTCTGTGCCCCTGAGTCACCCCCAGGAGAACTCCCAGGAAACTCATAGCTTCTGAGATTTTCCAACTTAAGACCATCAAGATGCAGGGGGCTAGTGTCTGTTCAGTGCAGGAAGGTCAAATAGGCAGAGCGAGTGGGGTCCAATATAAGAAATACTGGATGCAGGCCCTCATCCCAAACTTATTCCCACTCTCTCCATGCATGACTTCATTCCGAGGGTTAAGACGCTGACTACTCCTGAGTCCTCTTTTATGATGAAAACACCCCAGCGACAGTCATGTACAAGTTTTTAACATCATAGGTTACATTAGTTTTTTCAGATTGCTTCTCCTCAGGTTATCAGGGGGATGAGCAATAGACAGAGAAATAATTTTATACAGAGAGGATGGAGAGGGAGGCTTTTGTGAGGGCAGGGCTAGTGGAAGTCCACGGTGGCCAACAAAGGAAGAAAGGGCCAGAAGAGGGAGACAAGTGCTAACGAGAGAGCCTGTGGACACCACAACTTTGCCCCCCAATTCCTTCTGGCTGGAGTTTCTCCTGTTTCTCATAAGTACAGTGGAGACACAGATTCTTTGTGTTTCTTTCTGTCCTTGGGCATGGGCATGAGCTGTTCTCTGATGCACTCATGGGGGGCATGATACAGATGGGCTCGGCAGCCTACCAGCACAAGAAAAGGCATGGTGAGCAATGGCTGCACCCTTATAATTTTTGAAATACAAACAAACAGACAAAACTCTTCACAGCCACCCACCTAACAGTACCAAGGACCATAACAGTGAGAATAAGCATGGGATGTTAAGTGAGAAAGCCAGAGTCCCAAAGGCTCAAAAAGTCCCTCTGTTGTAAGCACAGTGAGCTGGTTCAGAACAAGGTTCCCCAGGATGGAGGGCTGGGTGTGCAAGGCAGCTGCTGTCCCCCTGCCAGGACAGGAGGAGGGGAGGGGTGGCAAGAGTGCCCTGGAGAATAAGACCTTGAAAACAACAATACTTTGGGGGTGAACCAACCAGCACACCCATAATCCAGGAGAGGAGAAATGCCCCCTTGCAGACTGTGACATGTTTGGTAAGGAGGTCGCCATGGTGGCATCCCAGAAATGAGCCATCCTGGCATTCTGGCCCTCATGGTTTGGCCACAATCTGGACATGGGTTTGTCCAATCAGGGCCCTACTGATCCCACTTCCTGAACCCCATGGGGACTCTGGTCTACCCTGCTGAGTCTCTGCACACAGTGAACTCACGCTCTGCTCACTGGGAACCTGTTGGCCTGTCTAGGGCAGGTGTGGAGTTTTAAAGAAAGGTGTACCTAAAGGACACCCACTGGCCTGCAAGCCACTGGCCTCACAGCAAGCCATGCTGCTGCAAATACTGAGAAGCAGCATCACTCAGTTAGTCGGGAGAGCTGGACGCTGGGATCTAGTCCCTGGATCGAGGCAGCACTGCCTGGGGAAAAGTGATCGCTAGCGTTCTTACTACCACTTAGATATTTATTAAAATAGTCTCTGAAAGACTTTTACTAGGCAATGCTTTCTTATCATGGCTTTACTGTCTGTGTGCGTGACTATAGTAAAATGGGTTTTGTCTCTAAACAATATTCCAGAATATTCCTTCCCAAGTCACTCCCAAACTAAGGACTCTAGAATCAGACTGCCTGTGTCAAATCATGCCTGGGTTACCTTTCAGCTGCATGAAATTGAGCACATTATTTAACTGCTTTACACCCTCAGTGTCTTCATCAGTAGAATGGAGACGATAAGTATACCTTTGTGATGCACACAAAAAGCTCTGCATGGTGTACTGCATGCAGCGTGTAGACCTGAAATGTTGATTGTGCTGTTATTATTATTTTAGTCACCAAAGGAGCTTCAGGACTCTGACATGAGGGACTCTTTTTGTTTTTCCTTCATCAAACTTGGGGGTGCCTTGAAGGCCTGGAGGTCACCCAAGCTCCTGAGGGGTTCTTGCCAAATTTCACGTTTCCTCTATCATCTTTCTTTCTATTTCTGGGGGCCCAGGTAAGGGGACCATGAGATACTGCTCTCAAGATGTATGAGGGTTGCAGTTGAAGGGGGCTTCTACTGGGGTTCCCCAGGAGCATAGTTACAGGGTACTTCAGTTGTGGGCCTAAGAATTTGTACTCAACCTGTTTGTAGGATTCTGATTTCCTCATGGAGGTTTCAGCCAAGCTGGTGCGAGACAAAAACTGATGTCCTGCCTTGTCCACCAATGGACAGTCAGTTGATCTACTCTTGTCTCTACAGGCAGGCCTCTCTGCTTCTCTCTGCCAGCTCAAATCCCCACTCCCTCCTTAAAGGTGCTTGAGGGTTGTGGAGAAGGTGAGACTGTGTGCTGGTCTTCTCTTGTCCAATAAATCCCAAGTTCAGGGACAGCGGGCATCTCAACTGATCATGCTTCTCTGTCTCCTGCTCCCTGAGTGCCTGGCACAGAGCCAGCATATAGGGCTTAGTGAGTACCTGACTGATGGGCTGGGCAGTCACAAAGGCAGTCCAGAGTCCCTGGCCGGGTCCTCCCTGGGGACTCCTCCTCCTTCATGGGAGTGGAGTTCTGCCCATAGAACTGCCCCTGAAACCAAAGGTGTCTTCCCGCCCTGGGCCTTCACGACAGCCAAGGCCCAGCCTTTACTACCTGGTCTGTGTTTGGGGTGTGAGAAATATCATTCATGCTCCTGCTCTGGGTGTGACCTAGGAGAGAAAGAAAAGAAGGTCCATCAGAGGAAGTTGGGCTCTTGCAGGTCCTTTCCCTTGGTCCCTCCACATGCTTCTCCCAGCTTCATAACCAAAACCAGACCCCCTCTCCCCTCAGTCCTCACCCCCACCCCCCACACTGGGAGTTGCCTCTGCTCCCTTTCTTCCCGTTCTTCCCTTCTACTGCAGGTTCTCCTTTCCCTTCTCACCCTCAGTCTGCTGTGCTCTGCTCTCTACTCCTCCACCCCACCTTCTTGGGCAGAGACCAAGATGTCTGCTCTGGGCCAGGCCCTGAAGGAGGGGAGGGACACAGACACATGGTCAGGTGAGGTGCCGGTGTCACTGAGCTTGGGATTGTTGGAGAGAGAAGACAAGTTTCACCTCTGTCCTCTGTGACCCATGTGAGTGTTTAAAAACGGCCAGGTGTTTGGGCACCCGGGTGGCTCACTCAGTTGACTGTCCAACTTCTGTTCAGATCACAATCTCACAGATCATGAGTTTGAGCTCCATGTCGGACTCTGCGCTGAGAGCTCAGAGCCTGGAGCCTGCTTCGGATTCTGTATCTCCCTCTCTCTCTGTCCCTCCCCTGCTCATGCTCTGTCTCCCAAAAATGAATAAACATTAAAAAAAAAATTTTTTTTAATGGTCAGGTATTTGGCTGGCAGAGGGAAGGAACAAGAGGAGAACAATGATGGCAAATTATTTGAACTGCCCAATTGTTCGTTCTCTGGCCAAGGCAGGAGAAAGTCAGCTCTCATTTCCCAGCGGCAGCCAAATCCAGCAGCCACTCTCAGATCTGTTATTTCTTGGCTTTCTGTAGTCTGTGACATCCCTAGCTTCTAGAACTCTATCCTTCCTTGGCTCCCTTTCTCTTATATGCATGCAGGATCCTCTCCTGCTGGGCTCAGGGCCTTGCTCTGCTTCATCTCCTGCAGAGTCTTCACCCCCTCCATCCTTGGTCTGTTGCATCCACCCTCTCCCACCCCCATCACTTCATGCCTATACCGGGCTGAGGATGCCCAGGTTGGGTCTCCACTCCACACCTCTCTCCCAAGCCCCAGACTCCACTGTGCAGCCCCACCTGGGACCTTAAACTCAACATACTAGGAAACTGAACTCACCGGCTTCTACCAAACAAATACCCCTCCACACCTTAGTCTGTTCAATGCCCTTCCCTCCCATCCACCCCGCCTAGGTGCTGGCCTCACCGCCTCATCTCCTGCTTCTCCTGGTGCTTGCCTCCCACTTTGGCACTGTCCTCTCCAGTCTTGCTCTGACAGTCTCTCGCTTCTGATCTTGTCCCCTTCTATTCTTTCTCAAATAAGAATCTGATCGTGGTGTGCCTCTGCTGAAAACGTCTCAGGGAGCCCCATTTCCTTCACCATAAAGACAGGCTCCTTCTTCATCCTACATAGGTCCTCTTTGCTTTGACCCTCTGGCCCTCAGGTCCTGACCTCCCGGTGAAGTGAACGCTCACTTCATAGTGCCTTCCTTCTGCTGTTAGTTTCCTTTGTTTGGAACAGCCTCCTCCCTCCACGCCCCCACCCCACCGCATGCTCCTGGAAAATCCCTATTTATTCTCCAAGACTCAGATGTGTCTCCTCTCTGAGCCTTCCAGCGTTGGGGTGGTATGCACACAGAATGTTTTATCTGAGTCTCCACTGCAGTGTCGGGCACAAGGGTGACCTCAGACACAGTGAATAATTAGGAGGAAGGCTCACCCCAAAGCCATTTGCTGCCTTCTGCCTGCTGCCTCCTGCCATCCCTACATAGAACAAGGCCAGGAAGACTAGGGCTCCAGGGTCACCAACGGCAGAGAGAAAGGACTACCTGAGGCCTTGGGCAGGCCCCACGCTGCCCTCCAAATCATTCCTTGAACCTGTCCAGGGCACAGGTGGCATAACCTGTTCTTATCTTGGCATTTTAGTAAAAGTACTTAAAGGAATATACTCCTCTCACTCCTTTTTCTTTCCATTTTGCAACTTCTTTCTCTTCTTTGCTTCATAGCTCATCTGTCGGTTCCTCCCACGCCCCCACCGATGTCTGAAAAAGCCCTGTCTATGATGGTGCACTTCACAAGCCCGCTCACCCATTCCTAGGACTCAGGGGGCTGTGACTGCCAGCATCCCACCGTCAAGGTGCATAACACTGTCACCCAGTGATGGCAGAGTTCTCTGACTGTCCCAGGGGAAAGTTCTTAACCTGTATCTAATTCAGTTTTGAGGAAGACTCCTTACCAAAAATGGGACTAATGATCAGTTTGGTGAAAACAAAGGTATAGACTAATATAAAAAATGCCTAGCACATAGGATTGTTACCGATTATGCTAGCACTTGATTTAGAGTTGCATTTTTCAGAGTTTTTACATAGAAACTTAGGCTAGTGAGTTAGTTCCTAAGAACAACCAGGTTTGGGATGAAGTTTAGATTTCTCCTGATGCCTATCCTAAAAATTCTAGACAGGTCCTGGCTTTATCTCCTCCAACTCTATGTTGAAAGAGTTGAGAAAGAGTAGAGAAAGTCTATGGAAGCTGACACAGAATAAAGTGTCTGCTTGCAGCAGACGAGCACACACTCACACAGCTGTCCGTAATTGGTACTTTGCCGCATCCTCAGGTCCTCGGTAGAGTGGTGTAGGCTTGGGCCAGCCGCTGGGCTCCGGGCTGGGCTGCGATCTGGGAGGAGGAACAGAAGGTATTTGGCTTCTGCACAGCTCCTGCAGTCAGCACGGTTTACATTTATAGTCACTTCAGCTAAACAAGGCTGGACTGTGAGATGCGTCTCTTCCCCATTCAGGAAGAAAGTGTATTTCGGTTGTTTTGCATTTTGTTTTTGAAGTTAATAGTCTGAACAAGATTACAGAAAATATTTGTACTCGAGAGTGAGATACACAATTGTTAAATATGCAGCAGGTGTTATAGACTGCCTGGGTTTATCCCCAACTCTGCCTCTTACTAGCTGTGTGACCTTATGCAAATAACTTAACCTCTTGGTACCTCGGGCTCCTCATGTGTAAAATGGGATAACAAGACCATACCTAGTCATAAAATTATTGTGAATATGAAGTGAGTTAACACATATGGAACACTCAGAACAATGCCTGGAACATGGTAAGTGCTATGTATGTGCGGTTGTCAGATACTAAACGCTTTCCATTTTGAAACAATTCATCTAAAGAGATTGCTCAAGGTTCTTTCTTTAGTAACCTTATGGACTTTGTTCTCATTACTGTATTCATCTGGCATGTTCAGCAAAGCTACTGTTTTGGCATCTTGACCCTGTAGTATCAAGAGTGGAGGGTTGCAGGTTTGGGCTGTGTGTGTGGAACAATCCATTCTCTGTAATGGCCCAGGCTCTGCTAATCAGAGTAACACAGCTGCCAGGTTTACAAGCCCTGGCACACTTGAGATGAACCCAAAACCTTCTACCACCTTGATGTGCTTCATTTTCTTCCAAGGCTCTTAGCTCTACTTGGGGGTTCAATAGGAAACTTTTGAGCTCTCTCCATAAACATGCCATCTCTACCAGCATTTTGCAAGCCTGACCACGCATGAGAATCTCCTGGGGAGCTTTCTAAATTTCCTATTTCCAGGCCATACCTCAGACCAACTGAATCCAACTCTCAGGGTGGGGCCTATGCACTGGGACATGTTTCCTACCCCCAGGTGATTGCATTGTGCAGCACAGGCTGAGAACCAACTCTCTTCCTAGGAATGGTTCTGCTCTGGTGGTAGGGATGATGTTGGGGTATGGCTGGGGTCTCTGCTGGCCTGCTGGAGAAGGAGGCTGACGGATCTCCAGAACCTCAGAATTTTTTCCAGGATCATGAAATCCAGGAAGCCTCCAAGTTTCCAAGACCCTGCAGCCACCAAGGAGGGGGTCACCCGGACACTGGGACCTGACACAAGCCCCCACATGCCCAATGCCCACCAGCACATGCTCAAACTCACTGGTGGTAGAGGAGACGGACTTTCCAATGTCAACCAAGGAGCGGTGGATGGGCTTCTTGGTTTGGTGGCGGTGTTTCCTCAGGAGGACATAGCTGACCCTCTCCCGGAGCTCTGGCCGCAGGAGGCCATCCTCAATTTGCTTCTTGATGACATCATCTAAGTGGGGAACAGATATGCCTTGTCCATGTGGGACAGAATGACCAGGGGCATGAGAGTCTTCTGTTTCATTTGTTATTAGCGGTATTAAAAGTGACTAAGGGAGGCAAGAGATGTGGAAATAGTCCTGGCTTTGCCACAAACTGTGGAAACATGGGCAAGTCACAAACCTTGGGGTATGTGCATGCCTGTGCATGTGTGTGCATCTGTGTGTATGTATGTATATATAATTCTATGCTCTTTCTGTCGCTACTGTTGTGAAAAGTAAATGAAATACACTGAGAAGTACAAAACTACCATGTTCAATGGTTTTAGTCCTAACATGAATTCCTTTTAGAAAAGTATTTTGGGCAAAATCCTTGTGGCAAATTTGTGAACAAATTCACAAGAAGTTTTAGGGATAACAAGGTGAGCCACTCCTCCCTTCACCACTCCACTAAATGAGAGCCAATTTCCTGAAGATGAATGATGATCAATTTACTCTGACAATAAACAGGTTTCCATGGCAATAGGTGTCTCTGACAACACTAGGAAGCCCATCTCCTTTTTGCTCCATTGATGGATGGCATTCATAAGATGGTCTTTTCCCCACTGGCACTCTATATGGGACTGAGACTGTCTTGGGATTGTCAGACCCAAAGTCTGGTCTCTGCAGGACCAAGTGGGCATCACACAGACCAAGGGTGGGCACAAGGCTGCCATTGCTTTTGGGGGCCCCAGTGGTCCCTGCCTCACCTATGATCTGTGGTAAGGAGCCACTGTCCAAATCCAGCAGCACCGTCCCCGTCTGCAAGCAGGTCCGGAGCTCGAAGAGGCTATGCAGCGACAGTGTGGACACATGGGGCTTGCTCCAGCGCTCACCTCCTTCCTCTACCTTTTCTTCAAACTTTATCCACCTGAAAGGGGTTAGGATGGGGCTCAGTGTGGCCAGCACCCTCAGGGTGAGGGGTGTTGGCCTGCAACTCACGTGCTACGTGTTGTTGGGACATTGGTGCTAGACTGACAGGCAGAGGATCTTGGGAATCCCCTCACTCCATCCCCACTTCTCCTGATGCTGGCATGCTCAGGACACAGTGACATCCAGAGAACGACTATAAATGGGCAGGAGGGGTCTTTTTGGGGGTGGCAGAAATGTTCCCAAACTGGATTTGGTGGTGGTTGCACAACTCTGTACATTTACTAAAAATCATTTAATTGTACATTTAAAATGAGGGAAGTTGACCTTAACCTATAATAATAAAGCTGTTTTTAAAAACCTATCTGAGCAGCATCTGGGTGGTTCAGTCAATTAAGCATCCCACTTCGGCTCAGGTCATGATCTCACAGTTTGTGAGTTTGAGCCCCGCGTCAGGCTCTGTGCTGACAGCTCAGAGCCTGGAGCCTGCTTCAGATTCTGCGTCTCCCTCTCTCTCTGTCCCTCCCCCACTCATGCTCTGTCTCTCTAAAATATAAAATATTTTTTAAATTTTTTTAATCTTAAAAACATAAATAAAATTTAAAAAGTATCTGAAAGACCTAATTGTGAGACAGGAAACCATCAAAATCCTAGAGGAGAACACAGGCAGCAACCTCTTTGAGCTTAGCCAGAGCACCTTACTAGACACACCACTGAAGGCAAGGGAAATAAAAGCAAACACGAACTATTGGGACTTCATCAAGATAAAAATTAAGAGGCAGCCTATGGAATGGGAGAAGATATTTGCAAATGACATATCTGATAAAAAGTTAGTATCCAAAACCTATAAAGAACTTATCAAATTCAATACTCAAAAGGCAAATAGCCCAGTGAAGAAATGGGCAGAAGACACAAATAGACACTTCTCAAAAGAAGACATTCAGATGGCTAACAGACACATGAAAAGATGTTCAACATCACTCATCATTGGGGAAATACAAATCCAAACCATGATGACATACCACCTCACACCCGTCACAGTGGCTAAAATTAACAACACAAGAAATAACAGGTGTTGTTGCAGAGAAAGGGAAAGCCTCTTGCACTGTTGGTGGAAATGCAAACTGGTGCAACTACTCTGGAGAACAATATGGAGGTTCCTCAAAAAAACTGAATATAGAACTACCCTATGATCCAGCAATTGCACTACTAGGTATTTACCCCAAGGATACAAAAATACAGATTTGAAGGGATACATGCACCCCAATGTTTATAGAAGCATTATCAACAATAACTAACAATGGAGAAAGCCCAAATGTCTATCGACTGATGGAGAAAGAAAATGTGAGATACAGATACACACATACACACACACACACACACACACACACACAATGGAATATTATTCAGGTGTCAAAAAGAAAGAAATCTTTCCATTTGCAACAATGCAGAAGTAGAATGTACTATGCTAAGCAAAATAAGTCGGAGAAAGACAAGTGCCATGATTTCACTAATACGCGGAATTTGAATAAACATACAGGAAGGTGGAGACCCTTAATGATAAAGAACAAACTGAAGGTTGATGGAGGGAGATAGATGGGAGATGAGCTAGATGGGTGATGGGTACTAAGAAGGGCACTAGTTGTGATAAGCACTGGGTATTGTATGTAAGTGATGAATCACTTAATTCTACTGAAAACAATATTGCACTGTGTGTTAACTAAAAATTTTTTAAAAAGTATCAACTGGAACCTGGTTACTCAGGCTAGTCATATATGCGTTCAGTGTCTGCCTTGTGGGATGTGGTTTTCTGGGAGCAGAGAAAGCATTCCTGACCAAAAAAAAAAAAGGTATTTCCCCATGGCTTCTACTGCAGGGCATGAAGATTCTACATGCCCACTCTGGGCTTTGGTTCTGAAAGTTCAGGTTAAAATGCAAATGTCATTTGGAGAAGGAAATAAATTAAACCAAGGATGTGTAGGCATTTGTTCTTTCTGGAAGACTTGGCATCAGAGGCTGGGTGAAGGAGCGGAGTGGGAAGGCTTTGGGCAGAGGCAGCCATGGCTGCAATGACCTATACTTCTCCTGCAGAGGGAAGCACCAGACAGCCTGGAAAGCTGCCAAGAGAGCAAGGTGAGCAGGCTATGCTTTGCAAGATGTCAACCCCAATTTACTGGGTAGCTTCAAGCTATTCCAATCAAAATCCTAAAAGAGTATTTTTGGGCCATGACTAATTCTGAAGTTTGTCAGGAAATGGTTGAAGAAAGGCTAAATAAGAATGGGAATGGATGTGCTTTTAGCAGATAAACAAACTTGCCTAAAAGCTGGAATACTTAAAACAGTGCATTTCCAGTCCAGATATAGACAAAAGGATCAATGAATAACAGTCCAGGAGCAGATTTGGGCCCCCTCATGAGAATGTAGGTTTTTATAGTTGTTTAAACCCCATAAGAATGTGGGTTTTTATACTTGTTCAAAAGATGACCAACTTAGAAATTAAAAACATAACCTCTTACCTACTTCTCACCGAACACAATATTAGATTCTACATGGATTAAAATCTAAACATAAAATTAAATCTATGATGGAATATTATTGACTCTTAAAAAGAAAGGAAACTTTGACACATGCTACAACATGGATGAACCTTGAAAACTTTATACTAGGTGACATAAGCCAGGCCCAAAGATGAACACTATATGATTCCACTTGCATGGAGACCCAGGGTAGTTAAATTCACAGAGACAGGAAGCAGAGTGGTGGCTGCCAGAGGCTGAGGGAAGCGGGAAGGGGGAGTTTGAGACAGTAGAGAGTTTCAGTTTTGCAAGATGAAAAAAGTCCTGGAGATGGATGGTGGTGACAGCTGCAGAGCACTGTGAATGCACCTGAGGTCACTGAGCCGTACACTTAACAATGGTTAAAATGGTAAAATTTGTGTTATAGATATTTCACAATTCAAATAAATGATTAAAAATGCATAAACATACAAATATACTGAAGAGAATATGGGAGAGTCTTCTTATCTTCTTGGTTATACAGAAAGAATTCCTAAACAAGATGTGAAGCCACAAGGGGAAAAAATGGACAGATTTTATTACATAAAAATAACTAAAACTTCTGTATTACAAAATAAGACACAGTTCAAAGAAATGCAACACAGTAGGAAAACCGTTACAACACACAGAGCCTCAAAAAACTGGTATCGACACTGTAACAAAACTCCTTCACATCAATAAGAAAAAGCCAAATTACCCAAATGACAAGTGAACATTTCTGGAAAGAAATGAAAAGGGCCAAGAAGATTTTCAACTTTACTGGTAACTGAGGACAGAAGCTAGCTGTCAAATGGTTAACAATGATGGTTAATTCTAAGGACATGAGTGGTTTTGCTGGTGGGAGAGGGGTTAAGAAACTTTCACTCTGTTTAGGTTAATTAATGTAGCAACAGCGCAGCCTATAGAGCCAGACAACCAGATTTTGAGTCCCAGCTCCATCATTTACTAGCTGTGGACCTTATCATTTTGTTTTCTACAGGAATAATAACAATATGTAGCAATCAGAGCAGTGCCTGGCACATAATGCACATTCTGTTAGTGTTAGCTATTATGTAAAAATACAGAATATTGTTTCTGTATGAAACAATAAAAGATAAGAAAGTAGAGGCATTAAAAGATCTCCCAATCAGAGGACAACGTGGTTGATATTTTGATGACTCCTATGGTGGTCCTCTGTGTGCATAAATGCACATGTGTACATGTGCACATACTCAATTTTGCATTAATGACATTGTCGATAAAGGCAGAATATCTACTAGACATTCATCCTTTCATGTCAATAAATATTTATATCATTTTATTTATTTTTTTAAATGCTTATTATTTTTGAGAGAGAAACAGAGAGCAAGCAGAGGAGGGGCAGAGAGAGAGGGGGAGACACAGAATCTGAAGCAGGTTCCAGGCTCTGAGGTGTCAGCATAGAGCCTGATGCAGGGTTCGACCTCACAGACTGCAAGGTCATGACCTGAGCTGAAGTTAGCTGTTTAACCAACTGAGCCACCCAGGGGCTCCATATTTATATCATTTTAAAGGCTCTTTAGTATTTCATTGTGTGAATGGACGACAACTGATATGGATAACTCTCACTTGGTAGACACTTAGGTTATTTCTAATTATTCTTTATCATATACAAGGCTGGCTTGAATATCCTTGGCCCCTGCTCCATAATTTCCCTAGGAAAAACTCTCAGCAGTGGAATTGCTGTGTCTGTACATTGTTAAGTGTATGATATGCAATACCAAACTGTTCTCTAGAAAGCTTCTGCCAATTTACATTTCTACCAGTGTACAGGAAACCTCACATTTCTCTGAAGTCTCTCAAACCCGGGTATTGTCAGTCTTCCTTTAAGTTTATTTATTAATTTTGGAGAGAAAGAGGGAAGGGCAGAGAGAGAGGGAGACAGAGAATCCCAAGCAGTCTCTGTGCCATCGGTGCAGAGCCTGAGGCAGGGTTCAAACTCATGAACTATGAGATCACGACCTGGGCTGAAAGTCAGACGCTTAACTGAGCCACCCAGGTGTCCCTGTCATTGTTTCTCACTCTGGTTCATTTGGTAATTGAAAATTCACATCATATTTGCATTCTTCTGATTACTAGTGAGGTTGGACATTTTTTCCTTTGTTGGATTTCCTCTTTACACAAGTATGTGGGTACTTTGTATTATTAACACTTCACATCCTGATTAAATACATTTATTTGAGACCAGTTAACCAGACACCTGGCAGGGCCTTGGGGGCTTAAACAGACACAGGATGGGGAGGTTGGATTAAAAGAGGCTTGGGAGGGGAAGTCCTGCAACGTGGGGGCTGGAGCAGAGACCACACACAGGCTTGCCTCAGAGATTTACCAAAGTGTAGCTGACTTTTTTTTTAATGGGAAAACCTGTTTGCGGAAACATCATGTAAATTATGGTAGATCCAAGTTCTTCTAAGAATAGTATTAATAT